TTTTGAATTTTTCTTATTTTTTTTTGAATTTTTCTTATTTTTTTTTTGAATTTTTCTTATTTTTTTTTGTTAAAACAAAAATCAGGTGTTTTAAGTTTTGGTTTTATGTTGTGTAGTCGTGTGAATCTTAGATTTTATTTAAATAAAGTTGTAAGCTCATTGTGTGTGTGTTTTAAACCGAGATCCATGTTGTCTGTTGTCATGAAATGCAAGCCAAACACAAGAATCTATAAGCATGGATTAAAAAGATGCGTACTGGTGACGTGTGAATGAATCACATGATTTTAGTTCTTTCATCTTCTTCGATATATGTTATCATTATCTCCTAAATTGAATCAAATTTAATCACATGAATGGAAATTTAATTTCATGTCTTTTTGAATACTATCATACTTATATACTCTTAGGATTTTGACATTGAATGTACCATTGGACCAAATGGTGGTTATGTATGGGCAATTGGTATCCTATAAATGCCAATGTATCAACTCCCTTAATTATTTCATCGTTGGTTGGTTGATTGTTACGTGAAACTTGGTCTTCATAGTAACAATTTGAACGAGATATAAATTAGTCTATTAATTCGATTGATCTCTTGATATAAGTCTTAACATTTTCAGTTCCTCTTTTCTTTTTCTCAATGTACAAACTTTGACCAACATGATTTGATCAAATTCAGCATGCGGTTATGTGGTACTTCTTTCTACGCTACTTTGGCTGCTCATGATACAATTACTTGCTGGCCTATGCAAAATTTTTAGGTTCATGCTGATGACCAACACTAGGCTTTACGGATGATGGATTCCTTTGTACCTATGGCTTGTTCTTTGTCTTACAGATGAGAATATTTCAAAAGTAAATTCTGTAAATGATGGTTTTGTTTTAGAATTATCATTTTTTCCTTTTTTCATTAGATTGATGGTTTTGTTTAGAATTATCATCTTATCTTTTTTTTTTGCAGGAGAAATTCTCTAGTGTGGAGTTTGTGAAAGTGGCAATAGAAACTCAAGAGGAGACTCCTATCAAGGCTAGAAGTTCAGTCATCTATGTAGCTTTTAAAGGATTGGCAGTTGATCATACTGATGGGTCAGTTGAAAGGAGAGCTATAATCAAAAGTGTGTTCAATGAGCTTAAAGGATTGGCAGTTGATCAACATGCGGTTCGCTGGTGCATCTTCCTTCTTCATCACTCTGATTGCTCGTGCTCGTGATCCAGTAACCAGCAGTACTACTCCGATCCAAACTTTTCAGGTTCGTGTGGATGAAATGCAGTATGGCTGTCTGAATCTCGTCTGTTCGGTTGCTCGTATTAAAGGTACCTAATTAACCCTTCTGAATTTTCTTCTTTTATTATTATTATTATACATAATCTCATTTTGCTAAATAATAAAATTAGTTTCCATAGGTGAGACCCTTAGCTCACCCGTACCGGTCGCAGTTGCAATGCCTGGACGATTGCCTGATTGGCCTTCAGATGTTGATATTCAACAGTTTTACATGGTAATAGTGGTTGTTTATCATCAGTTTATGTTTTGCTCATCATGATTATTTTAAGTGTGAGATGTGTTTGTAGGTGGATCAATCAGAGTTGCTGAGCGCCCACTGGATTCCTTTGTACCTATGGCTTGTTCTTTGTCTTACAGATGGAAGTATTTCAGAGGTAAATTCTTTAGAATGATCGTTTTGTTTTAGAATTATCATCTTTTTCTTTTTTTTTTCATTAGAATGATGGTTTTGTTTAGAATTATCATCTTATCTTTTTTTTTTTGCAGGAGAAAATCTCCAGTGTGGAGTTTGTGAAAGTGACAATAGAAACTCAAGAGGAGACTCCATCAAGGCCATAAGTTCAGTCATCTATGTAGCTTTTAAGGGATTGGCAGTTGATCATACTGAAGGGTCAGTTAAAGGGAGAGCTATTAATCAAAAGTGTGTCCAATGAGCTTACATGATCTTTGGCTATCAAGGGTAAGTTATGCGAAAGAGAAGGTTATGTTCGTATGAGTGCAAGAGAGACCTACCTCGCTCATTGCCGGGTCATGGGCATCGATTAGGCCACTATGTGTGAACACAAGAATCTATAAGCATAGGTTAAAAAGATGTGTAATGGTGTCGTGTGAATGAATCACATGATTTAGTTCTTTCATCTTCTTCGATCTATGTTATCATTATCTCCTAAATTGAATCAAATTTAATCATATGAATGGAAGTTTAATTTCATGTCTTTTTGAATACTATCATACTTATATACTCTTAGAGTTTTGACATTGAATGTACCATTGGACCAAATGGTATTGTTATGTATGGGCAATTGGTATCCTATAAATGCCAATGTATCAACTCCCTTAATTATTTCATCGTTGGTTGGTTAATTGTTACGTGAAACTTGGTCTTCATAGTAACAATTTGAACGAGGTATAAATTAATCTATTAATTTGATCGATCTCTTGATAGAAGTCTTAACATTCAGTTCCTCTTATACTTTTTCTCAATGTACGAACTTTGACCAACATGATTTGATCAAATTTAACATGCGGTTATGTGGTACTTCTTTCTACGCTACTTTGTCTGCTCATGATACAATTACTTGCTAGCCTACGCAAAATTTTCAGGTTCATGCTGATGACCATCACTAGGCTTTACGGATTTCGTTTGTTCTGTTTCCCAGATTAAAGATAACTAACACTTGCTGAGTTTTTACATGGTAATAATGATTTTGCATCAGTTTTGTAGTTTTGCTTTGCTCATGATTATTTTAGAGAAAAGTGTGAGATAAGTGTTTGTAGGTGGATAGATGAGAGTTGTTGAGCACCAACATGATTCGTTTGTACCTCGAGCTTGTTGTTTATATTAACGATGAGAGTATTTCAGAATTAAGTCTTGGTTTCTTTTATTTGTTTTTGCAGTATAATGATGATTTGAAGCATCCTTCTTTCCTTAAGAGAATCTTTCCAATTTGGAGTTTGTAAAAGTGGCTATAGAAACTGACGAGGAGACTCCGCTCAAGGCCAAAAGTTCAACCCTTTATATAGCCTTTAAAGGATTGACTATTGATGGTGCTGGTGAGTCAGTTGAACCGATAACTATAATCACAAATTTGTTCAATGAGCTTACATGATCTTTGGCTCTCAATGGAGAGTTATGCAAAGGAGAAGAATATGTGACTTCTATAAGTGTAGAAGAGTACTGTTTTCGTTATCGCCAAAGCATAGGCCTCAGTGATGCCACTATATGTCTTTTCTTTTATATTTGGTGTCTTTGACTTGGTGTAATAATAGACTCAGAGCATCTTCAACCCCACTCCATAATTTACTGCAAAATGGAGTGAGAAATGAAGTGATGAAGAAACAAAAATCTCATTACTCCATATTTGGAGTAACCACTCTTTTGTTTCTTCATTACTCCATTTCCCAGTCCATTTTACAGTAAATTATGGAGTGGGGTTGGAGATGCTCTCACTCTAGATACAAATATATGACGTATTAATTATTCTTACGTATTTAGAATTAAATAAAGTTTAAAGTTTTACTTGTTAATTATAGTACTTTTACTTTTTTTTAGTTTTATCTTTTTAGTACTTCTTAGGTATACTTTTAAGCAGTTTAGAGTTTTATGTGGTTCCCAACAAAATTCAACCACTTCCATTTTTTATATTTTAATTTGAAAACAAAATGCATTAATTAAAAGTATACCATCATACATTTGTATACAAATGAAAAAAAAAGTCAAAACATTATATATTTGTATACGGAGGGAGTAAGTATTAGTGTATTTATTTGTGCGTTTGGATTTGAATAACAAGGAACTAAAATTTCTGGTGGTATTTACAAAGCAATTAAATTTCTGGTGATCTAAGGATTGTTGTGCTTTTGCTTGGCTTCACCTCTCTTATCTCACGCAGCTCCAACCCTGTTTTAATTTCTTGTTCACTCTTTCTTTTTGTACTTTTAACAATGCACAAGCACAATCTCATACTCTCTTGACTCTCTGGTTTTTATATGTTGTAGAGAGAAGAGAGAACTCTTTAATTGTCTACAATTCTTATATTGATCTCAAAATGATGTTTTTACACAACATTGCACACACATATTTATACAAGAAAACACTCTTGATCTACTCCATTTCAAAGCCTTATTTTCTTGACTTAGGAGTTCTAATTTTTCATACATAGCCCATACTTTTTAACTTATACATAGGCTACTACAAGTGAACTCAAATACTTTTACAGCAACTTTCAATAGCTCCTTGACTTGTTGCTCCTTTTACATTATTTTTGTTCTCTCTTTTTGCGTTTCCTTTTTTGATTTAGTCAAAGGATACAATTCCAACAAGGATAAAACACAACTTTTCACTTTGCATGATCTAGTGATGATAGACAACCTACACCGCACAAGAAGCCAGCAATGATAATCTAGTGTCTTTAACATTTTTGTGATATTTATGTTTCCTTCATTGCCTGGTTCAGGTACTTAGCTATGATTTTAACGAGAACATTTGGATCGTCCAGCAATGGGGGTTTCATGAATCAAGATTCTTCTACTTTGTGAATTCCTTCTTGCATCCAATGAAGGAGCTAAGAAAGGTGAGGCTATAAAGTTAGTGCTCACTTCCAAGAAAATCCATTAACAAAAAGGTTCGATGCTGAAGCGTGATCCTATCCACAGATACCTTACCTTACCCTAATGAATGCTCTGAAATTGAGCTATACTAGACTTGCTTAGAGGAACCTATACTTGATCAAGAGCTTGGTCACTGATGTTTTTGTTACTTTCATCAATGACTAGATGAAAAAGCAGATAAGCTTCAATGTCTTTGTATGTAAGATTTCTATACAGTAAAAGATCTCTATATGTATTAACTTTTTATTAATAGAAAACAAACAGAGTTCATCCTCCAACCTCCATGTTCATCAATCAAAGAAAACAAGAACACAAATGAAGAAGAAGAGAAAAGAATGGTAAAAAGAGTATTCATTATACTAAAGCAACAACTGGGAGCTCTGCCTCAAAGCGGCTTGGAGGAAGAAGAAGAAGAAGAGGACTTCCTGTTTTTGGCAAAGTCAACCAAGTCTTTGAAAAGTATATCCTCTGGCTTATCATCTTTCTTTGGAGGTGTAGCAGCAGCAGCAGAGGCTGTTGGATTCAGAGAAAGGTTCCTGGACTGTCCCACGAGATCATCGTAAGAAGCATCAGAGCCACTGCTTGAGTGTTGAGGAACATTATTATGCTTGGTTCTAACAGACATTGGTGGTGGAATAACTCTGGTTCCTTCAGGATCCCATGGAGCACGAGGTAACTGCTCAGTTTGGTCATAAACTGGTTTGGTGAACAAAGCTTGCTCTGGGGATTTGCTACTAGGAACCGGCTCATCAAAAACAGGAGCAGAAGAGTCTCGATCTGATGTTCCTTGAGGTTTGTAGACATCACCACTGAGGAAGTCCATAGAACCAGATTCCACATGTACTGGTCTCATTGTAGGTGGTGGAGGAGGAAGAACAGGGTTGAAACTCACTCGTCCACTGTCTCTTTTCGACCTGCAGATATGATTTTTCCGATGAGTCTTAGGAGGCATTCAACTAAAATGAGAAAAAAAGGAAATGGGGATATACCTGTGAGATAGCTGAGCAAAATCATCATCTGACTCATCATCATCCTCGTCATGGTTGATGCTAACAAGCGGTATTGGAGTGGGAGCTGTTGCAGGAGGAACAGAGTTTCCCTTTGCCTTATCATCATGTTGCTGAAGAACACGCTGCAAGTTGTCGTTTAAGGCCAATCCTTGACACAGAAGCTCCTCATCTCTGTAACCATCAACAGATTCTATCAAGTTTGAGCACATAACATGAGTGAAGGGTGTAAACGAAGGAAGCCTTACGATGTGGTGTTGACAAGAGTCATTACACGCCTTTGATAAGTACGGCATTGCTCAACCAAATCAACTATAAGTTCTTCCTTTAAACCCTGTCACAACATCAACAACAGTGAGTGTTTCAAGTCAGATCAAACAACAGAGACACAAAATCTAGTCAGTGTTAAAAAAAATACCTCAGGGTGGCTTGGATCAAGAGCTCCAAGCATGTCCGTCAAAATATCAACTGATCCCTGAGCGCTTTGAATCTCTTCCACACTATTAAAAAAACAAACATGTTTGAGACACAGAATATGGATCTATCTGTTAGAACAAGTCTAGGAAACAAGAGAGTACCTAAGTGCAGAAGCATCATCACTTTGCAAAGAGGCCTGAATAGCAGCATCTTCATCTGATGCAACGGCTTGAGCACTAATAGGCTGAGTCTGAGGAGGAGTAAAGAAGGGTACACTGCTCTCGGTTCGAGGTGGGAACTCAACTCCAGCAGACTAAAGTTTTCAAAACATGTTATCAAAACTTTGATAATAGAATTGCATATGGATAAAAGGGTCAAAGCTATATATACCCTGAGTTCATTATAAGCATTGTAATACTGAGGGAATCTTCCACCGCTTCCACCAAAAGCTTCTTGCCATGTATCTAATAAACTAAGTATCTTCTCCCTTACACTCAAGTCTGGCTGCATAAAGTGGTAAACCTTCCAGTGTAAGTGAATTTTGAATAAACATAACCCAAGTGAGAGAGATGGTAAGTAAGTAAGTAAGAACTAACCTTTTTCTTCACTATTTTGACCATATCAGGCAATATACCACGGTCCACGATTAGCTGGAACACGTCCTCACCACAGTTCTTACTCAAAGTTTCCAATGCCTGAACCATTTAAAGAACAAGAAGATGAGTACAACAAAACAGAACCAAAACAAAGCATTTTTGTATCAAAAAGAAAAGGACTTACATAGAGAGCAAGAATCTGAACTTTGGAGTTTTTGCTTCCTAGCTTTTTCTTGAGCACCTTCACAGCTTCTTTTGCTTGACTACATAAACACCAAAACGAAGGTTAACTAATAACTCAAACATCTTTAACTTTTGTTGTAGTGAGAGTAAGACGAAGACATCAAACCTAGGATCCAAGTTGATAATGTCACAGAGTTCAATGTTGATAGCCCAATCGGGACCAATCAGCATATCATTTGTAGCCCTCTCAGCACAAGCAGCCGCGTTATTCGCCATTTGCCAGAGAGATCGATCCCTCTTTCAAAAATTAGATCCTAAAGTTTCAAGCTTTCCTACGAGTTAAAACATGATTAAGACAGAACAAGTGAAGATCAAAATACTGTAAATAATTCACATCACAATTTAGACCAGATCAAGTGAAACCCAAAGTAATCTAATCGCGAGATTTCACCTGTTTTTGTGGACTCTAATGATCTCTGCAAACTTTGTTGTATTAGAAACACGATCGGAGTTTTAGTGTGGAGATTGGTATCAGGTCATCCTCAAACCTTAGCCGTCCATACAAATCAAAACTGCGACTTTGTCTTTGTTTTATTTTTTTTTTTTTTGCAAGATGCAACTTTTTTTTTTTTGTGTTTTGGCTTTTGTCTTAATATGTTAAAGTAACGGCCGGTGACAGATAATACAGAATATTTGGTTTTGGTTATTGTTTCCATTAATTTTTGTAGAATATAATAAAGTTTAGGTCGTAAGTAATGATCATTAGCAACTAATACACCAAATAAATTCATAAATTCTAAATCTAAAATCAATATCGGATGTTGACTTTTCTTCCATGAACCACTAATTCTAAATTATCTAAAAAAAAATTTTAACAACACACGTTTCTTTTAAGGTAAAATGTATGTAGATTTAGGCTTTTAATAACTAAAGTACTGATAATCAAGTTTATTTAACGATGTATATGATGTTAAACCAAGAATCTAGAGGAGCAACAACTTAGATCAAAGGAAATTAGTAGATAAACAATTTCAAGATTGTCCTCCTGGTTTTCATGGGAAAATGACACAAAATAATCTGAAATGAGGTGTTATGGGCTCTAATGAAAGATTTGGTTGTATTGTACTACACATAAAAAAAAATAATGCACAATTCTTGTTTACTACATTCATAATTTTGTTAATAGTATTGTTACATCGAGTGACCTCAATGCACATTTGGCTTGGTGTCACACGACTGTACCTTGTTATCCCGATGTTCTACTGGTGACATGTTATGATTGGGTTATATTCGTTTTTATAACATTTTCTTTGTCATTAATATGTGTTTTTTGTATTGAATTTGATTCAACTATATATATAACATCACATTGTTCTAATTGATTGATTTATCAGTAATGGTCTTGAGGATTGCGTAGGTATTAAATGTAATAAACTTCACATTGATTCTTGAGAATCGATATGATGAAGGATTAGTAGTAACAAAGATTTATATATTGGGTTGATTAAAATCTCAGTAGCTCGGTGTGATGGTATTCTCTAAGTAACCATTGTAGTTTCATCTTAGGGATAAACCTTTAGAATGATTTCTTAGTTGATTCAACATTCTCTTGTTTGAAGGTAAACAAACCTAGTCTCTAATCTAAAGATCAATATATTATTTATAAACTAATGCCTTGATTCATGTTCTTTCTACAGGGAACAAAGTTTGAGTTGTTATACCTAATCAAGTATAACAGGACAATGTCTTGTGCAGACTCCTATTTCATAACACTCTCCACACGTGAGGCTGAGGAATCACAATCACAGAAAGTAGTCTTCCAGGTGCAAGTTGATGAAGATGATTATGGGTTTTAGATGTGGTTTGCTCCGATGCTAGAATTAAAGGTAACAAAAAAAAACTGAATTGTTTTTTTTTGTGTATTGAATTTGATTCAACTATTCTTTTGTTAATGATGAATATAAGAGATACCATGGAACCTTTTATTCCCCCAACGCCTATAGATAAATTGCCAAATTGGTCTTCAGATGATATTTTCGAAGATTTTTACTTGGTAAAGAATTGTTTCACACATGGAATCGTTTTTTTTTTCCTCAAAGAAACAAGTGTGATATATGTTCTGTTTTAACATGCAGGTGGAGGGATCAGAGTTGCTCAACAATGGTTGGATTCACAAGTATCTAGAGCGTGTCATTCTCACAAACAATAAGACCCGTTCAGATGTAAGTGTACTTATATTTGTAACTATTTATTAACATGCTGTTTTGGTTGACTTCAAACATGTTTTCCTTGCAGATGGAGGGGTTTTTCCCTTATTTGGAGATTGAGAAAGCGGCCATAGAAACTATTGAGGACCCACCGCTCAGAGCCAATTCTGCAACCATCTACACCTTTAAAGGACTGGCCATTGATCCTCATTGGAATAACAATGTTGAACCGAAAGCGATCATCAAAAGAGTACTCGAGGAACGTACGTGACTCTTATCTCTCAGAGGTAGTTTGTGCTTTGGAGGAAGTATAAGCACACCAACTTACTCTATGAGGTGGGAAGACATCTGTGACCATATCTAGAATCTTCAGAGCTTGTGTCCGTAGAAATCTTTAATAACACGTTCAAACTCTTTGACATTATGTGTTGTTTTGATTATGCGGTGATAATTTGATTTTTTGTGTGTTTGAAATTTTTTTTTTAATTAAAAGTTAAACTCATGTGTTTTAAGTTTTAAAATTTTTTTATTTTTTTAATTAAAAGTTAAACTCATGTGTTTTAAGTTTTGATTTTACGTTGTGTAGTCTTGTGAATCTTAGCTCAGTACTCATAATGAAGTTTATATATATCCTTTGTGATGTGTAAGTGCAAGGAAGTGCTTAACGATGTATATGATGTTAAACCAAGAATCTAGAGGAGCAAGAACTTAAATCAAAGGAAATCAGTCGATAAACAACTTCAAGATTGTCCTCCTGGTTTCATGTTTAAATCTAGAGGAACGGTGAGCAAAGATTATCTCATTCTCATGTATGGCTAATGATGTGTCATGCACAAAGGCTATTTACATTTTCAAACTCAGCATTAAGAAATAGGCATCTAGCAAGGTTTCTTTGGTTGTGACTGCTATGTTCAGTAAGAACTCTTTGTGACTATTTTGTGTTGAAGGTAAATTTACTCTTAAAAGTTAGAAGTACTGAAGATCATCAGACTGTAAAAGTTATTTGTTTGGTAAGATTGGATGCAAATGCAATTATCTTAGAACTGTATTTTTTTTTTGTTTTTTGATGATGATGACACTGGACATATGCCCGCCGTTAACTGGGACTTCAATATGTATGTATGTAAAATGAGCAAGCAATTAAAAAAGTGAAGGTCCTACCGGGAGTCGAACCCAGGTCGCTGGATTCAAAGTCCAGAGTGCTAACCACTACACCATAGAACCTTTTTGTTCAACTTATGATCTTAATAACACAAATCAAATAGATCACACAATTTTCAATGCTAACCAGTAACCACACAGTTTTCATGTCTACCAGAACGAAAATGAAATGAACTCTTATTTTAAGCTTTTCTGTCTCATTTAAAATAGAATTGATCTTTGAGATATCGTTTTTTTTCATTGCATGATTCTTATTTTCTTTTGAATATAAGCTTTTGTCTTGTTGACAGTGATATACTAGCAGCAGCTAAAAAGACCCCTAATGGATTTTTTTTAAGAACAGGCGTTACTATGGATCTTCATATGTCCAGCTCTGCTCATGTAGTTTAGTATTATCGCGGGAATTCGGTATATACGCGGGTGCGGCTACCAAATGAATTCTAATTAGAATACTTTTAACAAAATTAAGGAATATAATAGCTACAATAATTCACCTAATGTAGTGTATTTTAACGTAAGACGGTTCATAATGAACACTTCGTAACACTAAACATTCTGGTATGTCAAATCTCAGATTTCAAGTTTTGGACACAAACCAAAACCGACAGTAAGCAACAATCTATCTCATATAACTCTATAATGGCTCAGACGATGTGACTCAGGACGATGATGGATATTTGTTCAACGAGAGTTCCCGGATCATCGGATTTGGGAGAAAAGGCTTCGCTGGTGTTTTAAGAGATGCTCAGACCAATATAGATCAGAACCTTATGAGTTCTTTAATGTCAAGACTCTAGAGTCATTTGCCAAAGAGCTTAGCTTCCATTTGTTGTCCCCAGAGCATTTATGAGCTCGTACCATGAGTCCAGGTTCAACAAACGGTTAAACTCTTCGAAGGTAATCATCTTTGGTGGTTCCCTTTTCCTTGAGGATCTTGAATCCAAAGCATGCTCTTGTTAAACTTCGATGACGAATGTAAAGCAACAAGTAATTGAGGAAAATTATTCCATCCCCACTGATTATTTTGTCAAAAGCAAAACTCATTCATTAGCCAACTAGCTAGTAATAACATCATTTGCTTAGAGAAACTTCCATTTGATTTCCAATGGTAACATTATAGCCTAAGAAAGCATATATACTCAATGGGATGTATAACTTTCATATATGAATTCAAGTCGTCTATAGTTGTAGAATGTCTAATAGCGTGCTGAGATAATTAAGAGAAGTTGCTTAGTGGATAAGAGTGGAACTTGAAAATGAGAGAGAAGACTTCCTATGTGGATATTTCTAGGATAAGGTTGATAAGACCATTTGTCAAATGTAAGTAATTTCACCATATATATATATATATATATATATTTTTTTTTATTTTTTTGGTGTAAAATTTCACCATATTTAAAATAAAGAAACTGAGGTTAGATTCTTTACACATTGATTAACGATCATTACTTTACTTGTATGCGTTAAACTGACATTTTACTTGTAGACTTACATATGTTCCACTGAGCAATAAGCATAGTAATTTGTTTACACATTGATTAACGATCATCGTTCTCGTAAATGTGGTTCAATAGTGTTTGTTCAAAAGAAAAAGGACTTCACAAATAACATAACTTAAACCTTTAAGTATACACATAATACAGCGTTTATGTTGTGCATTCAGAGTTGAAAGAGAATGTAATCAAACTAGTTAAAGCAAAATCTACTAGCTTTGAATCAATATTATAATTTCTGGGGACACAATATTGCAAAAGTACTTAATTAAAAAGAGCATTTGAATAATTAGAGAGAATCAACACGCTAAAACAGCACTAACAACAGTATGAAATCGTGAATATTTTTATAATCAAATGTAAATTAGTGGAAAGTGGACTCTGTGGTGGGTACCTTCGTCTAATCAACGGTCAGTTTTTTTCCCTTCATTGCCAAAACAAAAATATCAATAAAATCCAATATTACCAAAAAAACAAATCGAGTGACAGTAAAATTGGTCAACAAAAATCAAACCAAAACCAACACGTAACCGCTAATTATATGAGATATCTAGAGATATTTAAGACTTTTAATCTATTAAATAAATTATTTCATTACAAGAAATCAGTGAAAATTTTAATATTCATTTTCTGTCTAAATCTTTTAAATTCAACTAAAAGCTCCTAACACCACACGAGTCGTTGAACACATCTCAGAACAGAGGCTACAGACAGAGAGACAAAAGAAGAACAAGGCGGTTCCTTTTTATCATTTCTGTCTTCTTCTGTCTACAGACGACCCTAAAGGTCAAACCTTTGAGACTTTTTTTATTTCTCTCTTTCGCTTTTACAACTTTTATATCAGATTTCTCGTCAAATCTCAAACTGGACATCTCCAGAATCGAAGACCCTTCTGCTCTTGAATCTCTCTCTTGGTAATGGATTTTTTCTTGTACTTTCAGATTTGCTCAGATTTTTACTGCAACCGGTTTAGACCAGTCAATATATGCAATTAAAACACACTTCGTAGAGCTCTGATTGTTTGGTTAAATCAGTTATGGTCTTGAGGATTGCATATCTCTATCAAAAGGAAGAAACTTTACATGAATTGAGTTAGAAAAATTATTAATTCTCCGATGATGGATTAGTAACAGGCATAATCCTTAAGAATGAGTTTGATTCAGTATTCTGTTGTTAGAATCTCAGTGGCTTGATGTTTTTGTTTTATTCTTCTATGTGAGTTATGTTGTAGTTGAAGTTGGATGGTGGAACAAACTGTGAGAGCCATGTCACTGGTGAGGTCCTCTGAGCCATCCGCTGCAGCGTATAGGAACCCCAATCTTTACTCTCTGGATGAGAATGGTTACAACATTGGTGGTGATACTTCCGTTGATCCAGACAGGTCCAAGAACACTTGCCTGACTACTGATGATTCTTACCCAAGCCAAAGCTATGAGAAGTACTTTCTTGATTCACCAACAGATGAGTTTGTACAACAACATCCAGTTAGCTCATTTGGATCTTTGGACTCGTTTCCTTATCAGTCAAGGCCTGTTCTTGGATGCTCCATGGAGTTTGATTCAACCTCTACGAGGCTCTTTGGAGGTTACCAAGCGGCAACTCAGGAGTTTGATGATGAACAAATGAGATCAAAGATTCAAGAGCTTGAAAGAGCCCTTCTCAGCGATGAAGATGGTGATGATAAGATGGTTGGTTTAGATAATCTGATGGAGACTGACAATGAATGGTCTTACCAAAACGAGAGTCAACATCAACATCAGGACTCCTCATCCGCAGATTCCAACTCTCATTCAACTAGTAGCAAAGAAGTGGTCTCATCACCAGCAACACCAAAGCAAATGCTTATCTCTTGTGCTCGTGCTTTATCAGAAGGCAAATCAGAGGAAGCTTTGTCAATGCTAAATGAGGTGAGACAGATTGTATCAATCCAAGGAGATCCTTCTCAGAGAATAGCAGCTTACATGGTTGAAGGTCTAGCTGCAAGAATGGCTGCTTCAGGAAAATTCCTCTACAAGGCATTGAAATGCAAAGAGCCTCCTTCTGATGAGAGGCTAGCTGCTATGCAAGTCCTCTTTGAGGTATGTCCTTGTTTCAAATTCGGATTCTTAGCTGCTAATGGTGCAATAGTCGAAGCCATCAGAGGTGAAGAGGAAGTTCACATAATAGATTTCGATATAAACCAAGGAAACCAATACATGACACTGATAAGAACCGTTGCTGAGATGCCTGGTAAGCGTCCTCGGTTAAGGCTAACCGGTGTTGATGACCCTGAATCAGTCCAACGCTCAGTAGGAGGGTTGAGAATCATAGGCCTAAGACTCGAGCAGCTTGCTAAAGACCATGGAGTATCCTTCAAGTTCAAAGCTGTAGCGTCAAAGACTTCCATTGTCTCTCCATCTACACTCGGTTGCAAACCAGGAGAGACTGTAATCGTCAACTTTGCGTTTCAGCTTCACCACATGCCTGACGAGAGCGTGACAACAGTGAACCAACGTGACGAGCTGCTCCACATGGTGAAAAGCTTAAACCCGAAGCTTGTCACAGTCGTTGAACAAGACGTGAACACAAACACTTCCCCTTTCTTGCCAAGATTCATGGAGGCTTATGATTACTACTCAGCGGTTTTTGACTCTCTAGACATGACGCTGCCGAGAGAGAGCCAAGAGAGGATGAACGTGGAGAGGCAGTGTCTTGCTAGAGACATTGTCAACATTGTTGCTTGTGAAGGAGAAGAACGGATTGAGAGGTACGAGGTTGCTGGAAAATGGAGAGCGAGGATGGTGATGGCCGGGTTCAGTTCAAGACCAATGAGTTCTAGAGTGACAAGCAGTATACAGAGCCTCATTAAGGAAGAGTATTGCAGTAAGTACAAGGTTAAAGAGGAGATGGGTGAGCTCCTTTTTTACTGGGAGGATAAGAGTTTAATTGTTGCTTCAGCTTGGAGGTGAAAAAAGATAGTCTATATGTTCAATAAAAAAAATAGTGTTTATGTTTCAATTTAAAACTTGGTTTATTGTAACTGGTTAAGTCATCTCCATGTATAATTACTAGAGATCACAGGTTCTGAAACTAATCTAACAAAGATGGTACACAATTTACTTTCTTCTCTCTCTTTATAAAAGTAAAAGTATTGGTTACAAATGTATGAGTACTAATGTCATTGCACTCTTCTACATTTTTGGCCTTAGCTCCTTATAATCCCTTTCTATTGATTGGCTTTAGGTATTCCAAGTCTTATCAATGTTATCATCATCACAAAGTCACAATCGATTAAAAATAAATTGTAATTTTTTTTTTGTAAGCCATTTGCAAAAGACTTGGTTAAAACGACATCGTTATCAGAAATAGTTTAGAGAACAACTAATCAAACCAAGTAATCAACGGTTTAACCGTAAGATATACTATCATCTTAAAACAACTAATAAAATCAATTAGAAGAAAAATTATATTCCAAATATACCAAGAAAAAAAGATAAGACCAGGAGAGTTGGCTTTGTAAGGTTTGGAGTTTGAATAATTGAGATTACATATGCGAAATTTGATAAGCTTCAAAATGGCAAATTTCATAAATTATAACTAGCAGGTCAGCATCTTGATTGATTTTGATCCTATTGTAAGCTTGGCAAGACTCTATTGTAAGTACTCTTTGAAATATCTATAACATTTGAGAAGTAAATTTGTTTAGTTGTCAACTTCTCCATGATTTTAGGTTATTTTACTTATTTTCATATTTTAAGAATTTATTATATAATAAAAACGAATTTCTGTTATCTATAACATTATTTGAGAAGTAAATTTGCTTAGTTGTCAACTTCTCAATGATTTTAGGTTATTTTACTTATTTTCATGTTTTAAGAATTTATTATATAATAAAAACGAATTTATGTTAATAATATCATATTTTTAGAAAATATGTTAATTCTTTTGTATTAGATTTTTATCTTAAAATATATTTTTCAATTATTATTTTAGAAGTAAAAATTTGCTTAGTTGTCAACTTCTCCATGATTTTAGGTTATTTTGCTTATTTTCATGTCTATAACATTATTTGAGAAGTAAATTTGATTAGTTGTCAACTTCTCCATGATTTTAGGTTATTTTGTTTATTTTAATGTTTTAATAATTTATTATAATATAAAATAAAAAGAATTTATGTTAATAATATTATATTTTTAGAAAATATGTTAATTCTTTTGTATTAGATTGTTATCTTAAAAATATATTTTTCAATTATAAAATTTAAGTGAATTTGCTGATTAATTTGTAACTTTATGTGATTTAGGTAATCTATACTATTATTTGTGAATGATTTTTTGCAATAAAGTTCTCATGTTGAAAGTTAGAACGGTTAATATCGTTTATACCCTTAATGAATAATTAGAATTTTTAATATAATTAAACATAAATAAAAAACGAATTTCAATGATATTAGATTTATCTTTATCTAAAACTATTTTCTATTGGGTTATAAAGTTTTTATTAACCTTGAAAAATAATTATATTATTTAATATACTTGAAAAATAATTATATTAGTTAATATATAATTAATTATAAATTAAAATCAAATTTCATTTATCTGATAATTATCCTTATTTTAATTTTTTATATTATGTGATAAAGTCTTTATCAACCTTGAAAAATAATTATATTTGTTAACATATAATTAATTCTAAATTAAAAAATGAATCTCATGAATTTGATAATTATCTTTATCTAACTTTTTTATATTGTGTTATAAAGTTTTTATTAACGTTGAAAAAATAATTCTATTTGTTAATATATAGTTAATTATGAAAAATCAATTTGCAAAGAATTTATGTATAGATAATTTATATTTTGTTATCAAAAACATTATTAAAGATATTTTTAATACTTTTTTGTTATGTCTAAAAATGACATTAATTTATTACCAAATGTTTTAAGTTTATGAGTATTTTTAAATATAAATTGTGTAATGAAAATTATTTATATGATGATGAAAAAATTATAAATAAAAAGAATTTGTTTAGTTTATTATTAAATATTTTGAGTCTATAAACAGTAATTTATTATAATTTACATAACTTGATTATATATTTATTTATCGATATTAGTAAAATTATTAAGCCCGCAAGTGCGGGCAAAACACCTAGTAATTCAGTATTTAAAAAAAAAAAAAAAACTAGCAGGTCAGCTCGAGACACTTGAATCTTTACTAAAAAGATTTACAATTTTGGATAATAATCGGTCTGGTTCGGATGGATAATAACCGATCTGGTTAGGTTCAGAAATCCAATTTTAAAACAAGTTAAAATTGGTTGAGTCAGATATTATAGGCAAACCTAACCCGAACCGACTTGAATACTTGGGCCGAGTTTGGGTTTTAGGTTCGGTTAATACGCCTATTACTACTCGACGATAGTTTAGGATTCGCAGCCGTTATTATTCCTCAAAACGTTAAGAGGACGCAAGAACGAAGAAACCCTAATCTACACGAAGCTTTCGTAGGTCTTCACCGTAAGTTTCCTTCTCTCTCTCCACTTCGTTTCGCGGCAATTATTAGGGTTTAACATTTATTATTTGAATCTTAGGGTTGAACTATGTCGAACAATGAGGAACGCGGCGAGGGGAGCCAGTACCAACACGAACAGTTGAGCCAAGGACAACCCAATGTATTTATCTGATTTGATAAATTCTTCTAGTTTCTTACATGTCCTCTGGCTTTCCTTTTTTTTAACTCTTTGCTGCTTTTGGTTTTGTTTACAGTGTTTTGACTTTGATGAATATCATTCATCTTTGTATCGCTTGAGGACCGTGACTTGCATCAATGTTTATTGTCCCCAAAAACAATTGGTGAAACATTATGCTTGGATCGGTCTTCACCGTTACAACCTTTTGAACGTAAACAAACTCTCATATCTAATCTAGAGATCAATCTATTATTTACAAACTAATACCTTGTTTGTTCGTTCTTCAGGGAACAAAGTTTGAGCTGTCATACCTAATCAAGTATAACATGACAATGTCTTGTGCAAACTCCTATTTCATAACACTTTCCGCACGTGAGGCCGATGATTCACAGGAAGTAGTCTTCCAGGTGCAAGTTAATGAAGAGGATTATGGGTTTTTAGATGTTGTCTGCTCCGTTGCTAGAATTAAAGGTAACAAAAAAAACTGAATTGTCTTTCCTTCTTATGGGGGTGTAAATTCAACTTACTCATTTGTTAATGATGAATATAGAAGATGCCACCGAGCCTTTCATTCCCAGCGCACCTATGGATAAATTGCCTAACTGGCCTTCAGATGACGTTTTCGAAGATTTTTACTTGGTAAAGAATTGTTTCACACATGGCATGGTTTTTGTTTTATTTTTCTCAAAGAAACAAGTGTGATATATGTTCTATTTTAACATGCAGGTTGAGGGATCAGAGTTGCTCGACAATGATTGGATTCACAAGTATTTAGAGCTCGTCATTATCGCTAACGATAGGACCCGTGCAGATGTAAGTGTACTTATATATCTGGTATACTTATATTTGTAACTATTTATTTAGATGTTGTTTTGTTTGACTTCAAACATATTGTCCTTGCAGATGGAGGGATTTTTCTCCAATTTGGAGATTGAAAAAGCGGCCATAGAAACTACCGAGGACTCACCTCTCAGAGCCAATTCTGCAACCATCTACATAACCTTTAAGGGACTGGCAATTGAGTCTCAGTGTAATGACAATGTTGAGCCGAAAGCGATCATCAAAAGAGTGCTGGATGAACGTACGGGACTCTTAGCTCTCAGAGGTAGTTTGTGCTTTGGAGGAAGTAGCACACGAACTAGCTCTATGAGTTGGAAAGATTTCTGTGACCCTATCCCTAATCTTCACAGGAGCGTCTAGAAAATCTTCAGAGCCTCTATCTTTAGAAATTTTAAATAATCTGTTCAAACTCTATGACCTTATTAGGTGTTGTTTCGATTATGCGGTGTAATAATTTGACTTTTTGTGTTTTGGAATTTTTCTTGTTTTTTCTTTATTAAAAGAAAAAAATCAGGTGTGTTTTAAGTTTTGATTATACTTTCTGTGTGTATTTTTAAATCGAGATCCACGTTATAGAACACAAGAATCTATACTTTAAAAAAAGTGTGATACAGGAAGAATGTGATGATACAAAGCCTAGATATGAACAAAGCATTTATCAGATCCACCAAGAGACTGCATGCGAGAGGGTCCGTTACGTACTCATGCTTTTTGTCTCTCGGATGTGTTCACAGAACAATTAATTGCACAAACAAATGTTTTACTTTCTGCATTATGTAAGAAGATTAAAAATGAGAGAAGCTTACTATTGCATAAGATCCATTACTTTTTTTTTTATAGAATGTTAAATTCTATTCAAGGAAAAATAACCTTGTTTACATTTACAAATGCATCATACTGTAGAATGAATTCAAACTGCTAAACTTTCTTTAACTCTTCTAGATTGAGTTGCTGGTCTTGTGGAAAACCAGTATTGGATGCCTCCTTCCAACCCTTTGACTTCTAGATCAATTACTTTCAACCGTACTTAGGATTTAAAGTTGGTTGCTACGATTCTCCCTGCAAAGAGTAGAGAGAATCAAGAGCTTCGAATGTCTGATATGGATTTTCCTTACTCACTGCACTCAAGAATCTAGGAGAGGTGCCATCAGATCTAATTAAACCTGTAGAAACTTTTTTTTTTTTAAAGCCATTGCTTCACAGGCATCACTTTACCGATATAAATATTTACAAAGTAAATGTATTATAATAACTAATTAATATTTTATAATTTATACATAATATATTCTAAATAATATTTTTATTTTAATTATACATGTGATTTTAGGTATATGATGTCTAGTTAGTTTAGTTATTTTTTGAGTGTGTTAGATTGCATCTACTTCTCATACCTATAATTTTTTTATTCTAAATAGATTAATTTTGATTAATTTCTTGTTTTTGCATTTAGGTTGGTTATTATCTTAGATAGCAAAATTATTTCATTTTTATCAAATCTGTGATGATCACAGAACTAAATTACTGATGGATCTGATACCACATACTCCCCAAAATAATAAACTGTTTGAAGTACAGAGTGTGAATTAACATGAGAGGATAAAATTTGGTAGAGAAGATAAATAGAAAGGTTTACACCCTTTTTTGCGTGGATACTATTGATCAGAAGCAGAAGAAGAAGGAGTTGGTTCAGCTTCAACAACAACAGGAGCAGCAGAAGGAGGAGTTGGCTCATCTTTAACAACAACAGGAGCAGCAGAAGAAGGAGCTGAAGATTTATTTTCTTCATCAACAACAGATTTGCCTCTCTCTCTAAGCTTAGCCATGGAAGCCTTCATTGCCTCTTTACGCTTCTTGCTCGCTAATACCTTAGCCTGAACTCCACTCACATTCGGATCATTCTTCTCCTTAGGTGGTGATGGAGGCGGCCGTCTTGCTGCCGCCATTGCCTCCTCCTTAACGTTCAGAGCGTTCCAACTCCATAGCACACTGCCTAATCCCACCACAATTGCCCTGCATAGGTAGTCCATATAATACATGAATAATGTTACAAATTTGACAATGTATAATTAATAAGAAAACTAATATAGTTCATGAAGATTATAACTTTCTCTATTTATCGTCAAATTGGCTGTAGATATATAAAAATAAACATAAACGATTACCTGCGGTTAGTTTGTGGAACTTGGAGGATGATGGGAGGAGTCTGAGGCCGTGACCGTGGTGATGGAGAGGAGATGCTGCCGGCGTGAGCAGCCGGTAAGAGAGGAGAGAGTGAATGTGACATAGCTAATCCAAGAGTGAGTAAAAGCAGAGTAACAAAAAAAAATTGGTAGGTAGACACTAATAGAAGATAGAATGGGATGTATTGCAATTTATATCTGCATGCTCATTGGTTGGATTTGGATAAGACATCAAAATAGATTTTGTTTGTCTACCAAGAGAAAGAAGACTTTTAAGACCCCAAAACGCTGCGTTTTCCTTTAAATGAACAACACCATTAGGTAAACAAATGTGACGTAGCTAATCAAATACGCTGTTTATCAAATATATCAAACATCTATCTACTGTCTACATCACTAGTTCACTGTTTGTTTGCTTCAAACCTCAAATCCTTCACTAATGAAAAATCCAATTAATAAATCAACCGAATATAAGTATTGCATAGCAATTGAAATTGAAATTGACCTTATCCCGTAAATAAATCACACAAATCGGGTTGACCCACATCTTAACTTCATATTAAGAATAAGACATACGCATGATTTAGATCTTCACGTCTGATTTTCAAATATATAACGGAGCTGGGTGCCTTAATGTACACGACGTTTTTCCCCCGTTATAATAAAAAGAATGCTAAGAAAACTTAATTCAGAAGCTTAATGATGATAATGTAAAATAATGCAAGTCAATTGGTGATTCCAAACTCACACAAGGCAGGCTTGTAATTTAGTGACTTGCTTTACACCAAGGTTTAATCCCATTAATTAACTCCTACAAAAAAAAAGGTTTAATCCCATTAAACATAGTAGTCCTTCTTCATCTTTTATTTAACAAATGAATTTGTTTGCCTTTTCTTTGTATTTACTTTTTACAGCACACTTAATCTGATACCTTGAAGTATTTGATTTGATATCAAGATATATCCTCCAATTTGAGAAATTATTTACCAAACAGAATCTAAGGAAAGTTTCGCTATTTATAGAAGGAACACATGAAAATGCGTTCCTGTCCAATTAAAATCCGAGTCAGTGACCAGCACTGACGTGCATATGAGACGTCATTAGTGACGAAAATCTTCCTACTTTGACAGACCCCATTGTCTCCCAGTTTGTAAACACACGTTGGCGCTCTTGATTTTTATTTATTATCAGTCTTTTGACTAAATTTTTTGTTTGTTTTTTATTGATTACACTTGTCGATCATTTTTTCTTATCTTCTTTGTTTAATAACAGTTTTCCTATCTTCTTTTTAACTTGACATATAGTATATAACTTTATTACAAAGAAAATTATAATTAAGTTAGAGAGGCTTTCTCAAAAAAAAAAAATGTTGAACATACTAGATTTATCTAGAATTGTCTTTTTAGACAAATTAAACAAAAAATCTATATTTTTGTATTTTTGTGCTTTTAATGAAACTTGATTTAACTCATGGACACTCTCCAAAAATAAACATTAGTACCCATATACTCAACATTATAAAAACATTGAGCCGACCGACGCATCCCTAGTTCCACATGTAACCAAAATCTTGGACCTAATCATATTTTATGCATAATTTGCACCAGGGATAGTTTCATGTGAAAATTCAAAAATATCATTTTCTGTTTTGTCCGTACGTGCATCCATCTTATTTTCAACTTTTACAGTCTCCAGTCTCTACTTTCTTTCTTTATCTTTTTTTGTTTGTTTGTTTGTTTTCCTATCATTATTACAAAACTCGTTAATTGATTTCGAGATAGCACGTTTGCATATTATATTCGAAACTACATCACAATTAAGATCCTAACAACAAACTATCATCACCTTAGAAACAGAGTATGCTTTAAAGACTATCGTACCATAAATAATCACACAATTCACAACGCCTTATGATCATCATATATGAATGGCTTTTACACAAGAAGAGGACTAAACATATATATTAATCCATCATTCATGAAATATCTCCCTTTTCTCGAAGACTGAGAAACCAAACCTCGAATAAAAGAAACAGATGATTTTCAAGGCTAATTAAAGCTTCATTCTACTTAGATATACTATAAAGAAAACAGAGGAGAAGAACCCATAGAATATGATGATAGTAAATATCTTCAACTCCATGTAAAAAGACCGGGTCATGGGCGAGTGGGGTATACGCGCTTTCCGGCACCGTCACTGGTAGGCTCAGAGCTGTTTTTGCTACCGGGGCGACGGAGAAAAGAGAAGAAAATGGCTTTGATGACTTTTGTCTTCACCAACTCTCTCTTCTTTGGGATCACAGTCCCTTCTTTCTTCTTAAACGGCTTCAGTCCCTCGGAGCTCATGACCGTGTTCAAGCTATATTAGTAAGTTGATAGATAAGTTTATATTTTTCTTCACTACTCTCTTTAATCGACAATAAGTGAAGTCCGAAACAGAGTCAGTCATGACTATAGTATGATGAAATATTTATCTATAATCTACTTAAATATTGATGGTTAATAAGAGTATGTATATATAATTCGATTCCCCAATTAATTATTAAGTTAAATATATGCATTGATTATCTAGTAAATGTTTCAAATGTTATGAATCGGTTATGATCCAGAAACAAGAAAACAATTGTATACTGAATAAAATACTAGAAGTTAATGTGACTAGCTTTCCTTTTAATCTTAGCTTTTGGCACTTAACATCAATTCAGAATGTTTTATTCCTTACTAGTACTACTGCCGGATCCAATTTATCTTTTCAGGACACGAATTCATGACTAGCTTTTACAACTATATTTTGAAAAGATGTTGACGTTGAATGTTGACTGTTGACTATTGACTTTGACAAAAAAGATTGTTATCAACATATGTACTAATTAAATTAAAAAAGCTCAAAAGGATAAATCAATAGAGCTTGTCGAAAATAAGTGTGCATGAACAAAACCATAAGCAGAGAAGTCGCTGTTGTTCAATGAATCTGAACAACATCATCTCTTTTATCATCCTAGGCCTTTGCATTATATGTGTGTGTGTCTTCCCTTTTTCATATATACACAGACATAATTTTCTTTGTTGCTTTTGCTATATATAGCCTAGCTAGGAGTATATGCTTTTCTTCCTGGTCCTCTTTTTTTTTTTTTGCAATACAGGGTCTCCTGTCTAAACCTCTCTATCTGGCTTGTTTTGCTAGCCCGGCCACTCCAAGGAACCGAAGCTCATTTTTGTGTGGATAATATGTTTTATACTCCCTCTAGATTTTAAAATTGATGTTTTAAGATTTGCATACACATTAATAAAATTAAATATAATGTTTGATTTCTTAGTTTTTGTTAATTTTATTTGCTTCTTAATAAAGTTTTACCACTCATATTTTCAGATTTAATCTATGTTTTAATTTTCAAAATGCCTTATTTAAACTAAAACGTTAATCTTTTCATTCTTTTGTATACAAGTAAAAAAATCTAAAACATCAGACATTTTCATTTAACTAGTATTACTAGTATGGGTGTGAGTGTGAACGTGAGGAGATTACTAGGAACGTAAAATTCTAACTAGCAAAGATGATTCTTTTTCGACAAAAGGCCATAAACAATTCTGAAATTTTTTTGAAAGATTCTTATGTACCTTATTGTGAAATAGCTGTACTAACAAAGATGGATTCTTTGACTTGTATGATGTTGTAGTGATGCCTCTATTTAGGGAACATGAATGAATGGAAAGGTATTTAAAAAAAGATTTAACTCATGCTAAAACACAATGAAATTATTGTACCATAAACTTTACGAATCCCGAGTATCCAAACAGCGCGCGTGCCATGGTGAATAATAAATCATCAACAGTCAATATGCTTATATAATTATACGTTATTTAAAGAAAACGAGAGTTTTAAGACTAATACCATAAATACAAACTCCTCAAAATTATTACAACTTGATTTTTTACAAAAAAGGACATCATAATCTTCGTTTGTCACCCCTACAAGATACTGAACAATAGAAACATTTAACTTAAACCAGAAAATACCAAAAGAAGCAGAACTAACAAAAGCTTACACGAGGAGAACAACAGCATATTATATATCAAACCCACAAAAGATCCTAGCGGTGCAAAACATCTTCAACCCCTAAGAAAAGGACCGATCAAGGACGAGTGGGGTACACGCGCCCTCCGTTGCCCTTCCCGTTGCTGTCGCCAGTAGGCTGGCTAGTACCGGAGGGAGAAATGGCAGAGATAATGGCTTCGACGGCCATAGTCTTTACCAGCTTCCTCTTAACGGGAATCACACTAGCTGCTTCTTTCTTCACCTTACGCTCTGCCGTTGAACTAGAACCTTCTCCTTTAGAACTCATCTTCAATGTAAATATATGCGTGTGTATGTGTGTTTGTGTTTGTTTGTTGCTTTTGTAATGGTGAAGCCATGCAGAAATGTAGTTGGTTTATATAGAAAAGAGGAGATGCCTTCAAGTGAGTACTGCTAACTTCTGCTCTAAGTTGATCCATGTCGTGTCAGGCTGTCAGCCACCCATTGCTGTAAAGAAGAAATTTACATTAACATCTTCTACTTCTGATTTAAGTTCCAAATTAAATAATAAAACCCAAGCGAAATTTACATTACATTATTCTGGAGAATATGTGGATACATAAAAACCTCTTAAGAAATAAATTAAAATTAACACTAAAACTATATTATAAAGTTTTCATGCACTATTTGATTAATGTAGTATTTATATACTTGGTAGATGAGGAGCCGGCAACTTGAGAACTAAGTACCAGTCTGCCGCTGGTACAAGAAACTGGGAAGACAACATTCGACATATATAGGTTATTGGAAGTATTTTTTATTCAATAATTTATATATATATATATATATATATATATATATATATATATATATATATAATGTGAAAAAATATACTTAAAGTCTAAATAATTTTCTAATCATTTAATAATAAGTGATGTTTTTGTATTGCAATTTTATTTCGAAAAGGTGCTATATTTATCTTTCAAATACATCTAAGGCAATGACAAAAATAAAATATTTTATTTTTATTTTCTATCTTATTCTTATTTTGTTTTATGAAGCATATAATTGTTAGTGATGTTTTAGTATTATATATGATAGCAATGGTAATAAATAATCATTGATGCTTGCAAGTATATTAATCAATAATTTTTAAAAAATAATATTGTCACTGTTTATTCCCCTTGTTTCAACAAATGACATTTTAAAACCTTATAATATAAAATATAATTTTCTTATATATAATCCCAATGTATTCTGGTTCTTGACTGTTAGTGTCCAACAATTTTTTTGTTTCAAACAGTTCAAAAATATTTTGTTACATAGACTAATTGAATAACATATCAATCAAGATATGATAATGTTGAAAAAATAATTGTGTAAGAGACATGACTACATATGTAGATCCGCGTTGGATCTAGAGAATCTTCTTTTCCATGTAATCGTCTAGGGATAACTGAAGCCACCATATCCTCTTTCTCTCTCTTTTGTAGATTCTTTTCTTTTTCCTATTATCTCTGTGTTTTGTACTTTTATTATTTTTCTGCATGCTCAGACCACAACAGATATAGTTGGTCGTTAGGAACAACAGTACAAAGATCAGCCAAGGGCCCATTCTGTTTCCTAAATTTTACATTAATGAGACCTAAAGATTTTGTTGTCAGATACTTGTGAGGAAAAATGAAAGAAACGTAACGGAGATTTGATTACAGAACAAACATGACAATTATAGTTTTTATTTGATTTCAATACAACCATGATGAATAAAATCGGCTGTAAATAAGCATGTTTTTCCAACAGAAAATAATAATAAAATAAATAGTTATTTTAGAAGATTCCATTGACATTACCGTGAAACAGCTGTCGAGTTAATCAGACGTGAACATTACAGTAAGGAGGTGGTTATCCAATAAATTTGTGTTTGTTTTCCTTCTAAATGATGATAATATTAATAAAACTGATGAACCCAAGCTTGTTAACTTTATAGATTTATATCACGCGTGTATATTAATCAGTTGGAGTATTAAACTGTGTGTTAACTGTTAACTAGACTTCGAGAATAAATAAATGGAAAAAGGCCACGGTGCAAATTGAACTTCTTTGCCAAGACAATGTTAAGTGATTTAAGATAATACAACATACATGAACATGATGTTATTTACAAATTATTTATTATATTTACTTTAAATAGGCATTAGCATTTATTTTTCACCTTCGGACTTATTGTATTTCTTTAATGTTGAAACTAATACATTTACATGAGGTGGTGTGTCATATTGTGAGAGGCCATCACCTTCTTAATTAAGCATGGATTTTGGCTGCAAACAGCAAAAGCCAAACAAAAGACACTAATAATTGATTATCAACATGTTATTAGAATTATTAGTTTTAAAAAGTCAGCATAATATTATAATCAATCTTTTAGATTTATTTTTCTATCTTCATGACAGACGACAAACCGAACAAGTTTTATTCCATAAGTTTAACTAAACTAAAAAATGATTAATTGTTTTCCATTTTTTTATCTCTCATTTTCAGATTTTCTTCAGAGATTTAAAACATTAAGCGTGTGTGTCGACAAAACTTCTAGAAACTGAATACAATTTAGCTTGCCTGGTTTTATTTCGTTTTTATCTTTTGAAATAATCATTTCTAAGGTTAGAGTGCATAGAGCTATAAATGAAATTCTTCTATCTATGTCTACAAATGAAAACAACATATACTCCATCTGTTTTTAAGAATACTAACTTCTTAGACTTTTTCTTATTTCACAAAAATTAAAAAAAAATATTTCTATTTTCAAATACTTTCTAAAATTAATTGATAATATTCAAATTAATTAAATATCATTGGTTGATAAAATATTAAATGTATAATAAAAAAAATTAATAGTAAACATTCATATATTCTTTTTCAGGAATGGAAAGAGTATGAAACAATGTAATAAACATTATTGCAACAGATCACAGGCCATACAAAAAAACGAGGAATATGCAAAGAAGACCGAGATAGAAGTACAGCCTCCAGGATCATTCGTCTTCACCAAACTTCCTCTCTTTTGGGAACACACTCCCTTGTTTCGGCCCCAACCGCTGCGGCCGCCATTTTCTATCCTCTTCTGCATCCGCGCGCATGTTTCACCACTGAGCTGCTCAGCTTCACTCTCTTTATGTAATGTTGTCTTGTGGTGATAACCATTAGGCATTAGCTCCTAGATTTGCTTCAATTTATCAGTTGATGATACTTATTAGAGAAGCTAACATTTGATTATAAAATAACATTTCTGTGTTTTCTTTAATTCTGATATTTCCCCCACGTGGCTCTAGCCTTGTACTTATGTTAAGCTTCCTAAAGAACCACTTTCGCTGCAAGTAGTTATTTAATCAAGTGATACTAGTTATTTAGTGCTTAAAGACATTCATTATTCTCGAGCTAATTGTGACATGGATTGGATTGGTCCCTATTTCAACTTTCTCTTTCTTTCTAGCTACTTTCACCTCTTGACCATTCATCATAAGTTTAATTATTAATCTGAAGAGTTGTATACTATATAGTACTACTAGTTACCATTCTTTTCACGTGAAAGAGGAGTTCAAATTACTATGTACAATTCGATTAAAAACAAGTGTACTTATGGTCTATGCTATATAAGAATAACTGACCGATAAAAGTTAGCGAGTAGTCGATAGGCTATAAAACTAATCGTGCTATAGAAGTTATAAATAGAAAACTCGATCTGACAACTTTAAGGAACCGTGAGCTGGATTAGTAGCACTATTAAATTAACGAATATGTGGGATTATTGGCACTATTAGCCTATCGTGGCTGTTCGTCAACGTTATTTACTCTGTATTATATGCGAAAGGAAATAGAACTATGAAATTAACTCCATTTTCATAAAACTACCCGCGTTTAGTTTCCAAATATAAGATGAAAGTAGAATTTACACATTAGCAACTATTTTATTGAATATCCATAAGCTACTGTACGTTTTACGGAAATTGAGCTAAACTGGAGAAGATTTTTTTTTTCTCGTTGCTACATTGCTTAGATTAATCACTAACATACCTTTAAATTTAGGCCACTAAAAATAATATTATTATTTAAATACATTCGAAACTTGGTCGAGTGAACTTGAAAAGAACACTATAATTCGTTTTAAGAAAAAATACAACATTAAGCCCACATGCTACCATAATTCCACACTGAAAGAAACAAGTCTGGTCAAAAAGCATTTCATATTTCTCCCATTTCATGCTAAAACTAATTAGTTTATTAGACAGCACAGTGGCATATGTAGCTAGAAAGCTGATTAGAAACTGTTAACATAATTATTAAAAACAAAAAAGAGTGGTGATTAAATAGTACGTAGTAGCATAAACATAACCCATACAACATTTCTTTTTATATCATAATCTTAGTCACCCCTACGGCCCTACCGGCCTGAACATGAACAATACAAACATTCAAACTTAACAGAAACAAAGAGACGCGTTATTACATTAAACTTTGACAACAAGAACACCATGGTGGCCACCTTATGTATATAAAACCACACAGAAAAAAACAAGAAGAGTTCACAACGGCTGGGTAAATATCTTCAACCCCGAGAAAAGGACCGATCAGCGACGAGTAGGGTGCACGCGCGCTCCGTTACCGTTGCCCGTAGGCTCAGAGTCGCTGGTGCTACCAGAGGAGGTGAGGGCAGAGATAATGGTTTTCACGACCCTAGTCTTTACCAGTTGTCTCTCAACGGGGATCACACTCGCTGTGTCTTTCTTCACCATCCGATCAGCCATAGAGCTAGAGTCGTCTCCTTTGGAACTCATCTTTAGCCTTCTTATGTAGATCGATGTATAAGTATGTATGTATCTTTGTGTATGTGTGTATGTGTATGCTGTTGTATTTGTGAAGCCATGCAGGAGGGTTTCTTTATATAGAGAGGATGTGCCTACGTGTCAGTCACTCATTTGCTAATTGCTATCCGTATGAAAATATTTATTTACCATTATCTTACTTATGGTATAAGCTTGGAAAGAAAAAAATGAAAGAAAAGCAAGCGAAATTTACATTTTTCCTAATACTTTTTGATAGTTCTGGTTTATATACACAAGAAATATCCACGTGTTAACTACCCATTTGTTGTAAATATGAAATTTAATTAAAAACGATCTCCTACTTATGATGTAAGCTTCAAATGGAAAATAAATTAAAATCAAGCGAACTTCCGTTCAATTTCCTATAATTTTCATATTCTGCTTTACATAAACTAAGATAGTTAAAATAACATTACAATAATATGAAATTTCTATGCATCACGGTTTATTTGATTAACTATATATATTTATCAGACAGGCCAAGAGGCACCAGCTTAAGAACTAAGGACCATTTTGGAACTGGGAAGACTAACATTCGAAAGATGACTTTTTAATTGTATTATACAATGTATATAGAACAACAGAAGTATACAGATTTTAAAGTTACAAAAATACAATAATGTATGAATTGGCATGTATCTATATATTATCTATATAGACTTGTGTTTTGTGCTTATATCATATAGGGAGAAAAATTTACATATTGCGGTTTGGTCCTGTTAACGTCTATCCATACTCTTTCATTCCATAATATATTTACGGATTTTGTTAAATGCTAGTATCTTATGACTAACTTTTAACGGAATAATGGTATCAGTGTATTACCTAGGTGCATATCTTTTTTTTGAACTACCTAGGTGCATATCTTAATTCTCGCTTCAACCCTTTAAGAAAAGAACGGATTCGTATTGACAGTAGTGGTTGTATATTTTCCTTTCAGTGACGCATTACTGGATAGAATCTCATAAACAGAGGCACCATTATTGAAACTGTAAATGCATGTGCCATAAGATAAAATAAAAACGCATCATAAGTTGTTCGCTTTATAGATGATATATAGTTATATACACAGATACTTTCTCTATGGTGTCGGGATGGTTAAAATCATAGACTTTTCTATATTGATGTTTTTTTTAGCAGCTTCTATATTGATGTTATTTTTTGCTTTTCCCTAAAAGACATATGTCTGTCCACTTAAATATATATTTACGTATTTATATATTATTTTTTCTTAGTCCATTTTAATAAATGTTTTAAAGCTCTGACCAAAACATATATATTCTCATTACTAGAAAGATCCGGCAAGGGCCATTTATATTTCCGGGTCTACGTATTATATCCGATCAAAGAAAGATTTGGGTGGAAGAAAAGTGAAAGCGACGTAAACGGAGATCGCTTACAGAGAAATGTACAGTTATGGTTTTTATTAGCTTCATTCAAATACAGTATAGTCTAGAGTAGTATGTGAATTGCGATACTTTTCTATATAAAAGAGAAAATAAACTAATGATTCGAAAGATATTCCTATAAACATTCTTAACCTTGCTCTGAAATAGCTGTATACTACTAATCAGTCGTGACCATTTACGTAAAGAAGTAGTTATCCAATGCTTTTTAGAGTTTATAAATTATAACAATCTATATCAGGTACTGGTCTATATACAATTATACACTAGCAAAATGTTTAATTGTATTTATTAATTTTTTCAATGCATAAATTGTATGTATCATTAACAGATGATGATATTATTTCTAATGTATTGATTTCACTTAATAAATCCATTGGAAAGTGTCTGTTTAATTGTGGGGGCCGGAGCCGCCATCTTGGAAACTAAGATTGGATGCTTGTCTGCAATTAGCCAAAGGAGGAGGGCACACAATGATATTAGATACTCCATTAATTTGTTATCAACTCTACCGTGAGCATTGTTATGAACAAATAATTAGGAAATATTGCAACTTTATAGCTAATCTAATTGTTTTTTTTTCTCTTTCCACTATACGGCATAATATTCTTCCATTAGGTTTAGTTAGAGGATCAATGAATATCAATTAATTAGTAATACCTTCCCGTTTTATTGATTTGGATTTAGATATTAAACATATTGCGTTGACTATATTTTAGGGAGATGAATACATATAATTTAATCAGCTTTATTAGTTATTTTTCAGAAGAATAGTTTCCAAGGTAAGTGTGTATATAGAATTATAGGTTTTGAGATCATATTTCATCGAGAAAATTCATCACATACTATTATAAGATATTCTTTTTTTCGCTAACTATAATAAGATTTTGCTGGGTTTAAGAATTTAAAGTTTTGAGTTTTAGAGTGTTTTCACTCGCCAATGATCTCCATGTAAGTGGTTTTAGAGCTTATAAATTTAAGACCAGAACGTTTTGGATGTACTTTTAACATTTATTTATTTTATTGGGAAAGTCTGAGTTGCTTAAACTTTGTTTTTATTTAGCTGTTGCAGAGTATATATTTAAATAGAAAAGTGGAAGAACAAAGTTCGTGGAGTAAGTTTTTGTGATTTGTGCGTTTAGCTATATATTCACGTCTCTCAAAAAATGTTTTGAAAATCTTACTGTATTCAAAATTTTTATTTAGTATGTGTAGTTATATTCTCTAATTTCTAGAGTTTACTAATTTCCTGGTTTTTTAAAAAGAGTCACGTATGATGTTACGACATAAATTACGCCTCAATAAATATAGGAATTGAATTATACTATATATATATATATATATATATATGTGTGTGTGTGTTTATGCAATTAAAAGTGTGAAAGCATGACGGTGGTCTGTGAATTCTTGGGTCCAGACCATAGTCTTTCAACCAGAGCAGTAGGGTCAGTTACTAAAGCATGCATTTAGTAATAGGTTTCTTCCTCTCTTTTTGTCCTCATAGTATATTTCTTCATTAATTATGTCGATAACTAAATAATATATTTATATGGTATTGGTAAAATAATAATTCCGTACGGTCCGTTCTTATCATCTTCGAAGGGCCACGAAATCAACCCTTAATTTTTGTTATTCTTCACCAGCTTATCTATATTATTTCATAATGATTTTGATTAAACAAATTTAATAAGCCAACGGAAAATGAAAAAAAAAGTTTTTTTGTTTACTAGTTTAAGTTTCTTTTTCAGTTTGGCGTGTTGAAATCAAAATTTGGTTAACCATGACTTAAAAGTGAACAATCATTGATTTTTTTAGTTTCTAGCATTTGGAGTAGCTTCTCAATCTTTTCCAATGGGTAATCATTTCAAAGAACACACAAATTGCAATCTTTTGTTTAAGAAAACAATATAAGTACGTACATGCTTCTTAATTCGGATATGCAGTAAATTATAAATCTTAGATTAACACGGATACACAATGAATCACATATGTAATACACAGAGAAGCTAGCGAAATCAATAACACATGCAGCTATACTTTTTTAAAAAGGCACACATGAGAGAGAGAGACTAATTTAAGTAAAATATCATTTGGAGGCTACCGGAGCGTGGGCTGCACGCGCTTGCTACACGGTGGCTTTGCTGTCTGCTTGGACTTTATAGAAGGTCGAGACGAAAACAGAGCCTCCAAGATCATTGTCTTGACCAGTTTCCTCTCTTTTGGGAACACACTCCCTTGTTTCGGGCCAAACAACCGTCGCTGCCGCCACTCTCCATCCTTCACCTCCATCGCTTTTTCTACGGAACTCATCGATCTTTAAGTTTCTTTCTCTGTCTACTTCTCTCTTGTTGTCTTGACGAGAACGTAAACTCCTCCTAGACTGTGCCCCCTATTTATTAGTTCATGAGACTTATCCTACAAACTAATAGTATGTTAGTATATTGATAATAATTCTCTTATTATATTAATCTTGTTATTTCTCGCACGTGGCCTTGGTGATTAAGCTTCCTTTGTGAACCAATTGTGCTGCAGTTAAGTAGTATTTAACTAATTGAGTTACTGATTAAAGCCACTTCCTTTCCGAGTTAGGCACGATATGGAATGGATTGGCCGCGCGCACTTTCTACCTTTTACATATTGTCCTTTTGAATACTAATCATACTATTAATTCACCGCATGAACCACGAGTAAAACATAAATGTTTAGAATAAACAACTCATTTTTAATGTTATCTCTGTAAGGGGGTGACAAAAGTAAAAGTCATTGCTAAAAAACAAAAGTAGAAGTGGAATAAAACGAAACATTCAGAAAACGATCTATCAAACCCAAGTTTCTTTTTATATGTAAATATCTTAATTAAATATTCAACCTAATCTCCATTTGCTTATTTTGTTATTATTTTAGTTAAAAGTCTTGGAGCAGCGGACCTGACTCACTTGGGTCGTGGTAGTTGTTTGAGATTGATTAACTAGTGTATTATGCAATTAAACTATTAAAAAAATAATTCAAAATGAATATAAGACTACTGCAACATTTTTTTTTTGTTCATTTAAGCATTTTTTTATCATGTTATAGTTTTCAGTTTACCATTTATGTGTTATAAAATTTCAATTTAAAAACAATGACTAGAACCATTAGTTTACTATAACATGAATCTGAACCCTACTCAAGTAGTCTTCATATACTTGAATCATCCATACCTAATCCGTGAGTTTTTAATATTATCACATTCATTTTAAATATAAAATTTAGATCCAAAATTTTTTTGTAGTCTATATCCCATGTTATTTGTTGAATTTTAATCCAGAATACACCTATAATCAAAATGTAACATACTAAACCGATGGAAATTAGCTTAATAACCCATCAGTATTTTCATAGTTGATATTTAGAAAAAAATGTTTGGCTTTCAATTTTCACTGAAATTTGTTAAAGCTTTTAGTTTGAAAGGTACAAATACTTAATGATATTTTTTTTGTTTAAAAAGTACATAATTTAATTTATATGCAAAAACTTAAATTAAACATGTATTAAAAAATGAAAGGAGTATATATTATACTATATACTAATTGTAAAAAAAAAGAAAAATGATTCAACTGTTTAGCCTACTAAGTTCAACTCATTCAACTGATGAACACATTTTCAGCAGAAATTACTCAGAATTCAACCATTTCTGGTGTAAATCACAATTCAACCATAAGGTTTATATATCTAGCATGAAATCTCGTATAGTAACTTAATATATAAGAGATCAATGAATCATACTTGCTTAACAAACTCGTGTAAGATTTTTTTTTTTTTTTTTTTTGTGAACGATAACTCGTGTAAGATCTTGATGTGACTAAAAATCATATCAATCGGGAGCATCTATATCTTGCAAGAGATTGATTGATGTGGACCATTCTTTCGCCATTTCTAATTAAAAAAGGATAATCTTCCATACGACTTTGATGTTGATTACAAGTGAATGAATCAGCGTGACTCCACGAATTTTTCAAGCAATTTCTCCTTATAAACGATAAAAACAACTTTGAAGTATTAAAACTGATATCGACGGTACGAGATTATTAGAATTAAATTAATGCTACTAAATAAAGATTCTCAGCATGTATGATACAGGAAGCTTTCTTGATTATTGACTTGAAATTGTTCTCTTTTGCTTTGATGTCAAATGAAGTTTGTATTAACATCAACGATGTTGCGCAGAATTTTCTGGCCCTCAATCAAATTATATTTACATCTTTTCCAGTATTGAAAAGACCACGAAAATTTCTCATGTAAAAATGGGACTGTCTTCAAATGATCTGTTTGATTTATTAATTTAAAAAACTCTTTTAATAAAAAGGTGAAAGACAGAAAGAGAGTGATAACAAAAATAAGAATGCAGCAAGTTGCATTCAACAATTAATTACAAAAAATATAGTATGAAATTACTTTACATGAATAAGACAAAGAAAATAAATTTAAAATATTTGTGAAAAGTAAAAACAAAAACAAAGACAAATAAAAAGAAGTTATAGCAAAGGTTATGGGCCATATCAGGTTTATAAAGGCTCAACTATAGTAATGGTTGTATGCGAAAAAGCATGTCACTGAAGTAACAAAATCCATAAGCTAGCTAGCTGCTCTAGTGGAAGGCTTGAAATTTGCAGTTACTAATGTTCTTCCGGTAACTTTGACGGAGGCTGGCTACTCTTTTGAAAAAGCAAGAGCAAGTAAGTTGGCTATAGTTGAGTATTCTGAAACCAATCAGAAGATCAAGACTACGGACTAGAAATCTCTCTCTCTCTCAAATCTTGTCTCGTGTTATTAACTTGTGTTATGCAATGCCACCTTCATCTTTTCTCTTGTTATGTTTTTCTTCGTGTGTGTTGAGTTTTATGATAAAAGGCTTCTTTTGTCCACTGAATGTGTTATTGGTTTATCAAACTCCTCAACATTGTTCAATGCAGTTCATTGGAAATCTCCAGGAGTCTTCTGGCCTGAAGAGTAGCTGGGGTGCAGGTAGGTTTATCTTTAATATGCACGTTGATTAATCAATAATATTTTCTTAATTTCCTGTGAAAACGCTTCTCGGAGGCTTCACTAGCTCCCTCCTCTTCCTCTTCTCTCTCACAGTAAGTGATAGAATTCTCCTCGTATTCTATTTCAAGGTTTCACAAATTTGAGATCTTTTGTCCACTAAATGTGTTATTGGTTTATCAAAACTCCTCGACATTGTTCAATGCAGTTCATTTGAAATCTCCAGGAGTCTTCTGGTGTTAAGAGTAGCTGGGGTACATGTAGGTTTATCTTTAACGTGCACGTTGATAAATCAATAATCTTTGCTTAATTCCCTGTGAAAACACTTATTTTTTATCTATTACTCTGCTAAAAATCAATTGTCTAGTAGTTTAGAGGGGTTTGAAAGACTTTTTGATTTGTGTAAACTCAGATGAAGCCTTTCATATTGTTTCTGGATAACATATTCCAAAAGGTTGCAATCATGTGTTTCAAGTACAAGATGTCTACCTTGTGAATCAATTCGTGATTGTGGAAGATTATATATTTTAATTGATTTTTTTTTTTAATTGCGAATTGATTATCATCTCTCACTTATGCAAGAGTCATAGTGAAAACTATGGCCTAAAGTTGTCTTTATTTTTTTTTTTTGTTTGTTTCATTGGCAGTGATTATTGCGGAGATCATAGCCCTTGTGGCTGCCAGCACGGTGCATCGAGTTTGTATTACAACCTGGTAAGACTGACACTAGTTCTCCTCTCAATATCCTAAATCAATAATGTTACGAGTATTCCGTAAGTCTCTCTCTCGCTAACAAATGTGGGTTTGGTTTGTTGTTCAAATGTTTTGGGATGCAGTTTTTTCTTCTCTGCTGGGCTGTTATACGAGATGAACAAGATCTCAGGATATATGCTCTCCGAGTCCAAATCTAAAAGGCACTGAATCAAAGATAACCGGACATGATATTCCCGACTTTGTTTTAGCACTTAAAAAGATTCGAGGATACGTCATACTTGCCAACTTTACCTAGAATTTCCGCATCCTATGCTTGGTTGATTTTGTAGTTGTGTTTATGACTCTTATGTTCTTATAGAGAAACTAAGGTAATAGTGCAAATTTTGATAAGGCATTAGTGCAAATTTTGTGAGCATTCAAAAGTTGTGTGAGTGTTGGACTACAAATGTTGTAGTGGGTTGGGTTCGTTTGGTAGCATGAAAAGTTTGGTTTGGTTTTGGCCTTTTTAAACTTTTTTCTCATAACTTTGAAGTTGATTCACATATACAGTAGATGATTGTCAGTCTGATCATGGTGGGTGTTACTTAACATTCTAAATGAATTGTCAAATTGTAAAAAGTAGTATTTCACGTTAATATATACAAGATGAAAACGTAATTGGCAGAGCCGGCCTTGGGAACAAGCGAAAGAAGCACATGCTTGCGGTCGCCATTATTAAGTAACTAACCGGCTAAAATTTTGTAAAAGTTGTCATTAGTCTAGTGGTTTAGTCCACCTAATCAAAACGTCAGGTCGTGGTTCAATCACTCCCTCAGGTGCAATGTTTTTTGTCAGCCATTTTATTTAATTTGGGCTTCTGGCCAGGCCCATGAGTCTAGGATCGGTTCTGGTAATTGGTATGGCTATGTTTTATCTCTTAGATGACTGATATATTTTTTTTTTGTGTGTGTGTGTGTCCACCCCAGATGATTGATATCTAAAAGATTTAATTTCATAAAAATACATGATGGATAAAGAAAAAAAAAAGGTGTAAAATGTAAATGTGTAACAAGCGAATCAAAGATTTTCAAAGTGGGAATGTGACTGGAATACCAAACTAATACGAGCAAGAATTAAAGAAAAAGTTTTACATAATTAAAATGATATAATTTGTAGTAGTTGTAAATTTTTTTTATTTTTATTTTTTTTTATCAATAGTAGTTGTGAAATAAATATGTTTTCCTCAAAAGCCGATGAAGATATAAAGGGAAAGTGATGTAGAGAAGGAAAGGAAGCCATATATATGTGTCGAGGACCCACCCACCCACCCGCCCGTTCATTGTGTGGGTGGTATTATCTCTATCGGTCGTCGGTGCCTCTCTCAGATCTTTTTTCTACAGAAAGAAAGAGAAAAAGAAGAGGAGAGGACGATTGTTTTTTCGATTCTTCAATCTTCTGCGTCTATCTTCGCTCTTCTGATCCCGTGATCTTCACGTGATCAATCTGGTAGCGTTATTCTATTATCCAATCTTCTTCAATATAATTAGAAAAAAACCGTTTGTTTGCTCCATCGATCAATTCGGAGAGAATGGACGAGTTCGGTGTTCTAACGGAGCGTTACGGGATAAAGCCCCAAGGAAAATCCGCTCCCATGGCTGCCTCCAAGCGTAACAACAATCCTCAGAAGAATCATCTCGGTGGTGTTAATCCCAAACCGACGTCGTATTCCTCCGATAAGGTATCTGGTAACGGAGGCGACGATGTGTTCTTCACGTCGAGATCTACTGATAGAAACGGAGCGAGTTCTAGTGGATTTGACGGTTTTGATGACGTCTTTGGTGGATTGAACAAGGCTAATAGTAATAGCAAGTCTTTAAAGGAAGACGATGATTTGATGTTTTCGACCAATTTTGGGAGTAGGTCGGGGATGAAGAGTTCATCCCAGGGCTTTGATGATGTTGATGTGTTTGGTGCTAAAGGCTCCGTTGGTGTTAGCAGCAGCGATGATATATTTGGGTCGTTCTCTTCGTCTACGAAGCAAGTTGCTGGAGTTGATGATTTGTTAGGTGATATGGGTGGATTTGGTCTTAGTTCAGGGAAGAATGGTTTTGATGAATTGATACCTGGTTTTGGTGGCAGTTCTCACACCACTACCAGGTTTGTGTTCCAGTTTATCTTGTAACGTTTTTGCCAATATCTGATGTATAGAATGTGCTAATGTCTCGTGGCTTGTATTTGTTTTACATGGTGGAAATGTTTTAGTGTTATGTGTTTGAAATATTTTGTTGTTTTTTTCAGCAAGACTACCGCATCATCGACCTTTGCTGATGCTGACCCTTTTGTGGTTCTAGAATCAACAACTACCTCTGCTTCTTCACATTCTTCTTCGGGTCTGTTCGTGGATCCACTTGATGAGTTCGCTGCTTCCGTCAGTTCTCAGGGGCAAAAACCATCACAGGCTTCTTCTACAAAACTCAAGCCTCCTCCTAAACCAACGCAGAAAGTGGACGGAGGAGGTTAGTTAATCTCTCTTTGATGACTTTAAAAGTGTTGTTGATTTAGAGATGATGTTTATTTCTATCTAATTACGAATTATTTTAACAGTTAGGAGTTCTGGATTGGCTTCAATAGACGAGCTTGAAGACTTTGCCATGGGTACTATGCGACGTAGTGCCTCCGCCTCTGACACTGCTAGTAAATACAGAGAAGCCGAAGATGCTGAAACAAAGCAAAAACAGTTTGGTGCGGATGATCTTGACTTCTTTTTCAGCTCTGGGCATCGGTCCAGCAGTGTACCAAAATCACGGACGAAAACTGAAGTAAGAACTGACTTTCGATCTATGTTCCACTTTACAAGTTTTTAAATTATAAAAATAATGTGTTCTACATATATATCTGTAATACGTCTTTCTGATTTCAAAGGCAACTCGCAAGCAAGCAGTCAATGTGCCCAAAAAGACGACTAATGGGGTTTCTAGTGCAAAGAAGCCTCCTGCTCCAGCAAATCTTGTGGATGATTTTTCTGCACTTTTTGGAGGTATACGTTGTGAAAACATGTTTTTTTGTCCAGTTTTGGCTACTCTGGTCTAACTTTCTTAGAAATGTTTCCTTCTTCCTTCACAGAGGATCCTATATTTAGAGAATTTGAGGAAATCCCAGGAGAAAGCGAAGAACGAAGAAAGGCCAGATGGGATCGTGAACAGAGAACAAAGAGCCGTGTGGTATGTGTGGTTATAATTTTTTTTTTTTTTGAATCCTCTGGTGCAACCCTTGACTCGTTTTCGCCTCTGTAACTTTTTTTGATATCTCATTAAGCTAAATGCTTGTATAAAAATCTATGATGAAATTTCCTTGTGCTTGAAAGTACCTTTTCGCATCTAAAGTTTAGTCAAGTTCCCCAGAGAATGTGTCGAATACCAATGTTAGGTCTTTCCTTGTTTGATTTAGTGGCCCTGTTTCCACGTCAATTTGGTGAAACTCCTAGCTGACTCAGCCTGGAATACTCTCTTTTGAGTTTTGCTACCTCAGCAGCCTGTAGCTTGCATTTCACTGTATATTTTGGTTCTCGATATTTTACACTATTCAGTTTCGTTTTTAAATGTAGGCACAAGCTGTAGCTGATATGAATAGCCGTGATCATCAATCTCGGATTGAACAAGAACAGAGAACCGTAAGCTATCCTTTTCTTGACATTTCTGTTTTAATGTTCATTACCATAATGCTTACATATAGACAATGACGTTTTCTGGATTTATTAATCGTCATTATGATAATGATGATCTCATTTACATTTCCACTAGTGATTTTGTTTTCCAAATCTACATAGAGTGAGTCTCCTTGTTGGTGTGTTTAATGGTTTCCTTGTTAATCTTGCTTGTTCAGAGGATTTCTGAGAGTGTTGATACTGAGATAAGGCGTTGGGCAACTGGGAAAGAAGGAAACATGCGTGCCCTGTTATCTTCCTTGCAAATCGTTAGTTTTAAAGATTTTTTTTTAAAAAGAAAACTGTATATAAATGTTCTATTACATGTCCATCTGATCCTCCTAAGTTCACTGAGTTCTGGTTCTGTTTTGAACGATGACAGGTACTCTGGCCTGGATGTGGTTGGGAGGCTGTTTCTCTGACAGATTTGATCACTTCTTCAGCAGTCAAGAAAGTCTATAGAAAGGCAACGTTATATGTACATCCCGATAAAGTTCAGCAGAAAGGAGCCACCCTCGAACAAAAGTATATCGCCGAAAAGGTTTTTGACATTTTGAAGGTATATTTTCTCACTGGATCTGCATGAAGTGGAATATAATCTAGACAAAAGTTGGCAGGCGAATAGAATCAATCAATAGAGTTTCATGGAAACAGTGTTCAAAAGAAAAGTTTAGTAACTGAGACTAGCTTCTGCGTTAGTAATTTGAAGAAAATGGTTTTAGTTTCTTGTCTCTTACAGTAGATCCACGAACGCAGCTTCAAGCACGTTTCCTTATACTAGAGTGTTTGGATTATCTAGTTGTTTAAACTGAATGCAAATTTGCATTGAACAGGAAGCTTGGAACAAATTCAACAAAGAGGAACTCTCTTAAGCCCAAGACTTTCGTTTCAGAGGTCTGAGAAGAGTATGCTTCCGGTAGAGCTTGACACAAGAGAGTGGCAACGTCTTAGCAATGGTTTGATTAAAGAGGTAGCGGACACTTGAAGAGACTTGGTACCTGTTTTGTTTTGTTTATGTGTGCTCATCTCTACACGTAATTAGTGTGTGAGTTTCGTAGAGTCTTGTCATGTTTTTCTTATCTCATTTTTCCTTCAGCAGTAGCTACCTTTGCATCTTTATATACACCCACAAAAAACACATGGGGGGATATTTGTATAGCCCCAGAGAAAACAATAAGAGTTTATATATCGAATGTTCTTATTATAGCTGTAGCGTAAAGATGTCTCATCGATGTTTGATTTCATTCCCATACAATAACAAATCCCAATGAATTCTAGTTCTGTGAATTTGTTGAGTGAATATTTGACCAGAAAAGGAAAAAACAGAAGACATTGTTGAAATTTGCAATCCTCTAGCGACAAAACAATTGATATTCTCCTTCGGTAATATTCACCTAATATAGTATCATATAACCCACAAAAATGTTAAAATAATGATTTGTATAATTTCGTTCCATTAAAAAAAAAAGATTTGTATAATTTAATTCACGTATTTGTTTCTGTAACCAGTATGTATAGTGAGAGTGATCCTCTGAAAATGTGAATAAGATAAAGCGTAATTACTTACGTAGATTATCCATTATCCATAAAAAAGGAAGGTTTTGATACATATCCAAATCCATATAGAAACATTAGTAATACCATAAATAAGTTTGTTGAAAAACTGTCGGAAAATAATTGGTCTGAACTATTATAAGTAGGAGTTGTTGTAAGTAATATCCTTCAAAACAAATCATAGAGAAACGTATTTGGTGTGTGTGCGTCAATGGTTGAATTAGATGGTGGTGAAGGTGCTTTCAAGAGACCCGGGGCAGTGCCTTTTAACTGGGAGATCCGACCCGGTATACCCAAGGTCCGAACTAAACCCCATGATGGAACTTCCACTCTCCTTCAACCTCCCAAGAAACTTTCTTCTCTCCAACTAACAAAACTTCCATCTTCTTCTCCCGCAGACTCTTCCTTTGCTCCTCCTCCATCTTTAGGACCATCACCAACTATATATTGTCGATGTTCATCAGCTCGAGCAGCTACATCACTCATCTCTAGTGCTACTGCTTTGTGTCGGTTGAGTCTTTTCAAGTCATTATTTCGGTTCAAGAAGAATAAGACCCGCGGCAATGTGGCAAACACCGGTTTGGATTCGAGGAAAACATTGAAGTCTGACATTTTCTATGGCTCAGAGACAACAACGTTTTCGCCATCGAAATCATCATTATTGTCATCTTCTTTTCGTATGAATATGAAACGTAATGAATCTGATTTAAGCTCTTCTGAGAAAAAAATCATATTAATGATGGAACGTGAGCGCGTGAATGGGTTGTGGTAATCTAGTGATTTCAGTGCATTTGTTAAATTTTCTTCTTATGTTTCCAAACATAACTTAATAAGACGATGATTAGTGTTTATTTCAATTTTTTTTTTCACTTAAGGCTTGCAATCGTGTTGGACTTTTAGAGTCCTGAAAGCCCAACTATGATGTTATTTGTGACCCAACACTCCTAACGATATAGCATTTTGCTATTGTGCATTCATTTCTCCTTTTAAATTTGATGTTGGTGGTTCCAAGTTTGTAGCGTAAAGAGGTGAATGTTGCATGTGTGGCTTTAAATCTAACATCTGATCTTAGAGTCATTCAATCATTAATCCAATGGACACTTAACTAGCTATTCAACTAAATGGATGTCGACCATTTATGTGAAAATGACCATTTCTCTTATAATTATTGTGGATACCATCATCCAAAATCCAATTTTCTTCTAATTCAAAACAATATACGTTTACAGAACAAGAATAAGACTCTTTCTTTCAATGTTATACTAGATTTTTATCCGTGTTCGCACGGATATTTAATTTATGATATATATAAATATTTTGAAACATAAAAATTTAACAATTGCATTTGAACTATTTAGTTTATCGATACTGATCATATATTGCATTATTGGATGATGTTACATATATTTTTTATTGGGTACTGAATCAGATGTGGTAGTTGTGGTTACATAAAAACACTATTGTATCTTTGTATAAAATCTATTATATGTTGATCAAATTTATATTTTTTTTTCCATATTCTATCTTGTATTACATATATCAATCAGTCAAATAATTTACATGTTCAAATAATTTCACTAATATAAATCCAGTTTGGGATCTATATTAGTTTAATGCACTTAATATACATTGACATATAAATAGATAAAATGGTTTAATACTTAGATTAATAGTAATATATTTCTTGATTGTTAAGGGTAATATAATTAAAAATATTCTTTTAAAAAAAATCTGTTACCATATAACAGAAACCTAATGTAGTTAAGAGTGACTTTTTGGTGATTTTTAATGCTTAATTAGACATTTAATGTAAAGATATTTCTTTATTTTAAGCATGATTAAATTTAGAAAATATAAATTTATTATTATAACAAAAAAGTCATCTAATTAAGAAGTCTAGATTTTTTGGTGATTCACGCTTAATTAGACATAATATAGTTAGATATTGGTTGATTATAATGAAGATATAATCAAGAATATTGATTGTGACATTATTCAAAAAGTTGTATATAAAGAAATTTATGGTAAATGTGAATATAATTGACAATAGTCATGACTTTATCAAAGAATCATATGTTTGATAATTGATATGCATGAATCTTTTAAAGAATTATAAATTTTGTGTAAGATAATTAACCAGTTTAGTTTCAATGTTATAAACAAAATACAATAACCAAAACCATGTTATACAGGTAATATGTCGATATCAGCAATTTTTTTTATCAATAATGTTTGTGCGAGTTTGTTATTTAGAGTTGATTTCCAAAGATAGGTTTCATTCGATCGTGAAACAATACTAGGGAATGATATTAATAATTCAAAATCGGTTGTGACAAATTCGAGAATGGTTTAGTTAAAATGATTTAGCAATCATATTTATTATGTTGATGTTTAATTTTATGGTTTAATATCAAAAATGGTTTAATGATTTTAGTGGATGCCGATTGTTATGAATAAGAATAAATCCATTATACATATATTGGTTTGAAAATTAATTTAAGTTAGATGTTTTGTTATTAAGGTAGTATTATTGGATAGTAATTATTCATAAAAATTTAGGGCATAATATAAAATTTACTTTCTTTTTAATAGATTAGATTTGAATAACTTTATATCTTGGCTATATAATGAAACATATTATCTATTATATGTTAATTTTTTCGGTTTTAAATAAAACAATATACATTGGTTATGCTATTAGTAGCCCATGGGCCTGTAATAGGCCCAACGAAAAACTCGGCTGGAGTTTCTTCCAAGCCACCGTCTGTCTTTTTACTTACTCTCTTTCTCTCCTCCGTCTCTCAGATCTCTCCTCCGTTCTCCAAATTTCACTCTGCAAACCCTAATCTTCCGATGTCGGTAAGTTGTTACACTTCCAGTTTCTTATTATTACACTTCCTGATGGTGTTAACTAATCGTCGCAGATCTTCGAGTACAATGGAAGTGCGGTTGTAGCTATGGTTGGAAAAAACTGCTTCGCCATCGCCAGTGACCGAAGACTCGGTGTGCAGCTTCAGACAATCGCCACCGATTTCAAGAGAATCTCTAAGATCCACGATCGTGTCTTTATCGGTCTCTCTGGTCTCGCCACCGATGTTCAAACACTGTAAGAAAAGAAGAAGCTTCCATATGTTTGTTTGTTTGCTTTTTTTTTTTTGAACTTGTTTAAGATTTTTTTTTTACTTTGTGGTCTGGGGGAGGGAAGGTATCAGCGTTTGGTGTTTCGTCATAAGCTGTATCAGGTTCGTGAAGAGAGAGATATGAAGCCTGAGACTTTCGCTAGTCTTGTCTCTGCCATTCTTTACGAGAAGAGGTTTTGTGATTCTGTGTTCTTAAGTACTTTGGTTAGGATTGAGATTGCTTAGTTTGTGTCTGAATCAGTATTTTGGGGGTGTTTTTTTTGGTTTCAGATTTGGTCCTTACTTGTGCCAACCTGTGATTGCTGGGTTGGGAGAAGATGATAAGCCCTTTATTTGCACCATGGACTCCATTGGAGCTAAGTAAGCTCATCACCTTTCCTTTTGTTGCTTCTCTGTTTCGTAGTTTCCCTTTTTTCAGTGTCATTTATCTTGGTTAGTCTTGTGTGTGTAGTTCTTGTTAGTTGTATAGAAGGCCTTTTATTTTTCACTTAGTATGGTTAATGATTTTGTTAGACTTGTGTGTCTAGTGATGAATCCTCATGTTGTTTATTATTTTTTTTCCGGGTATTCTACTGTTTCGAGATTGATTTTTTTTTTCATACTTTTGCGTTTCGTTTGTTGTTTGATACATTGTGGTATATGTTTGTAATACTTGTGGCTCTGTTGGAAATACAGGGAGTTGGCTAAAGATTTTGTTGTGTCTGGAACTGCCTCAGAATCACTTTATGGTGCCTGCGAAGCTATGTACAAGCCTGATATGGTTCGTCTGCTATCAACTTTATCATGTTTTTTGTCTAATTACCGAATCCTTTAGTGCAAGTTCTTAGATGATTAGAGTTTAGTTTGTTGTTAGCTTCTATAAATGTAGAATCTTGAACCTCAATAGCCATTACTTTTCTCTTCGATATCTTCAATTGTTGCTTTTGGCATGAGGTGTTCAAAAGTGCCCATCAAGACTATGGTTTAACAAAATTCGAATTTATCAGGAAGCGGAGGAACTGTTTGAGACGATATCGCAAGCACTTCTCTCGTCGGTTGACCGTGATTGTCTGAGTGGTTGGGGAGGACATGTCTACGTTGTGTAAGTTCTCAATAAGTTTCATTCTTTTAATCCCACGCAGTTTAGTTTTCCCAAATTACTTGTTAAACATACTTTCTTGGTGATGTTGTTGCAGAACACCAACTGAGATTAAAGAGAGGATCCTAAAGGGAAGGATGGATTGATCATCGTCATCTTCATCATCACCATCTGCTTCTATCCAAAGTTGTTGTTTTCTATGTATTCCGGTTTTAAGTAGTGTACTCGTCATCGCATCCCCGGTTTAATCATAGAACCTTTCATTCTCTGAGATCATGACTTGCGGATGAAGTTTGATTTTAAGAGGATATTTTCTTTCAATTCTTAACACCGGTACTGTACTCATTGGTTTGTATTTTTAGGCAAAGTGCTTAAACGCCTAAAAAGAGAGTGGTTTCGTGCTGAGGAACGGCGTCGTACAGATAAGGGAGGAACGGTGTCGTTTTGTGCTAAACGCACTGCTTTTTAAAAAATATCTTAAAATCAAATAGATCCAAAGGCTACTTATCACTGAGTCGAGCGCGTTGATGTTTTCACGCGCTTGTGCGACTGGGCAACTTTAAAACGTGAATTTGAGTTATTAAATTTAGTTTTTTTCAAAAAAAAATTTTGTACCCATAATTAGTTTGTTAAAATCTAGTAGTTGAAAACTGTATTTATAAGTTTTGAACATTTTGAAGTTTTTAAAAATGTTGATCTAGGAAGGACCAAACTATTTTTGTTTTAAAACTTTCGTCGTGTTGTTCTTGTGTATCAGTAGAAAATGCGTGCTGTTTTAAGATATGGTTGACATCGTGATGTTTAGTGCATTCCAATAGAAACATGAGCCCACTGCTGCTTGTTTGGCTTATGGTTTTGAAAGAAAAAGCAAAGAAACAATTCTTGTCTTTGATCTTGGTGGTGGTAATTTTGATGTCTCAGCCTCTAACCTTGTCAAAGTCATCGCCACCCAAATGTGTATCACCACACACCTTCATCAACTTAAAAAACTGCACAACAAAATACATATCAACTTCAAAATACACATTTGGGTGGCGATGACTTTGACAAGGTTAGACGGAACTATTATCACTGTGGTAAGATCTGACCGGTTGTGCTGTGTCGTTGAGAGAGAGCAGAGCAAGGTTTTGCCTCGAGCTAAGGAAAAATTCTTGTACATTATTATCATATGATATCTTATAATATCCACATTTGATAAGTGTTAATAGTGGAATGAAACTAAACTAAACAATTCATAACGGATCAGATCTATGCACATTTTTTTATTTTAGAAAGTCACGAACCGGATTATCTCATTTGATCCCAAGCCTAGTGGTCACGTGATTAAACTGTATGATTACAAACATCCAATGAGTCATCGCCAGGCGGATGTACGACCATTTATCATCCAACAGCTGATAAATAAATATCTCCCAAAGCTTCTTCTTAGAGCTTACTCAGAGAGAGAAAAAGAGACTAGAGATCGATAATGGCGATGAGGAGGGGATACGCGTTGTTCTCGTTCCTTGCGTGGACGACTTTGTTCACTTCCTCAGTAAGAAGCGAGGAAACGGAGACGAAGGAGTTCGTGTTGACCTTGGATCACTCCAACTTCACCGATACTATCAACAACCACGATTTCATCGTCGTCGAGTTCTACGCCCCTTGGTATTCAGTTTTTTCCTCTGAACCTATTTCGATTAGATCTGAGAGTTTATCATATGGATTTCGTCTTTGAAAACGATTCGATCTATTATAATATGAATTGACACGTGTAACTAACTCATTTGATCTTTGCTTCTTCTTCAGGTGTGGACACTGCAAGCAACTAGCTCCTGAGGTAAACACACATCTTCAGTTATTGTTATTTTTATCAGTTAGTCAAATTTATGCAATTTTTACTTTTACAGTACGAGAAAGCTGCGTCGGAGTTGAGCAGTCACGTGCCTCACGTGGCACTTGCTAAAATCGATGCAAGTGAAGAAACAAACAAAGAGTTTGCAACTCAGTACCAAGTTCAAGGTTTCCCTACTCTCAAGATCTTCAGAAACGGAGGTAAAGCTGTTCAAGAATACAACGGACCTCGTGAAGCTGACGGTATTGTTACTTACTTGAAGAAACAAAGCGGACCTGCTTCTTTTGAGATTAAGTCTGGCGATGATGCTTCTGAGGTTGTTGGTGACAAGAAAGTTGTTGTGGTAAGTGTCACAACACTCACACACACACATACACTTATTTTTCCATCTGTGTATGTGGTAGTCAAGTAACGTATGTTTTTCCTGTTTTAGGTTGGAGTTTTCCCTAAATTAGCTGGCTCAGAGTTTGATTCTTTCTTGGCTGTTGCTGAGAAGTTGCGCTCTGACTATGATTTTGCACATACCTCTGATGCTAAGCTTCTTCCTCGTGGAGACTCTGTGACAGGACCTGTTGTCAGGCTATTCAAACCCTTCGATGAACTCTTTGTTGATTCCAAGGTACAAAGGGGAAAGAGTTTCTCTCATTGTATGTAACATAGATGGGTGGAATGTTTGTTTGATTTTTTTTTGTTTGTGCATTCAGGATTTTGATGGAGAAGCTTTGGAGAAGTTTGTGAAAGTTTGACAAGGATCCAAGCAACCACCCTTATGTTATCAAGTTCTTTGACAGCCCTAATACTAAGGTAACTCATAGATCTTTATCCCATCACGCTGTAACCAAGAGGTGATATTTACTACAAAGATGGATTCGTCATGTTTATGCCTTTATTTTTAGTATGTTTCATTTATAGATTAACTGAAGTGAGCTGATGCGTAATAGACTGAATCTGGATAGTAGCGTTTATGGTCTCTGTTTGAAAATTATTATAAAAACTTTTAGGTTCCTCAATGATTCTAGAATTCTTAACCTTGTATTGGTTTTGATGGTGCGTAATATTTTGAGTTTCAGGCGATGTTTTTCATTAACTTCACCGGAGAAGGAGCTGAGACTCTTAAATCAAAGTACCGTGAAGTTGCTACATTCAACAAGGGACAGGGCCTTAGCTTCCTTCTCGGTGATGCTGAGAACAGCCAAGGCGCATTCCAGGTTAGTCTTGCTCTCTACTATCTATCTCCCAGTCGTCTCATCCCGTCTTGGTTACAAAATGCTAAACAAATTTTGCGAACCAATAACAGTACTTTGGACTTGAAGAGAGCCAAGTTCCTCTCATCATCATCCAAACTGCTGAAGACAAGAAATACCTGAAAACAAATGTGGAGGTTGAGCAGATTGAATCATGGATCAAGGACTTCAAGGATGGAAAAGTGTCTCCTCACAAAAAGTCTCAACCTATCCCTACAGAAAACAACGAGCCTGTGAAGGTTGTTGTTGCTGAGAGCCTTGATGACATGGTCTTCAACTCTGGAAAGAACGGTAAGTTCCATTACATTACATTATTAAATCACAAACACCTCTTTACTGGTAGCTAAAGAAACCTATAAACTCAGATTTATTTTACTTGCAGTGTTGCTAGAATTCTATGCACCATGGTGTGGACACTGCCAAAAGCTTGTTCCAATCTTGGACGAAGTCGCTGTGTCTTACCAAAGCGACCCAAGTGTTGTCATTGCTAAGCTAGTAAGTCACTTTCCCCTTTTCATTACACTGAAAGCTTATTTCATTGAATCATCTTATTGGATACTTATTGTTTTTCATTCGTCCAGGACGCAACTGCAAACGACTTCCCACGTGATACTTTCGATGTGAAGGGATTCCCAACCATCTACTTTAGATCAGCGAGCGGAAACGTTGTGGTGTACGAAGGAGACAGGACGAAGGAAGACTTCATAAGCTTCATCGACAAGAACAAGGACACAGCTGAAGAGACTAACGCGGAGGAGAAGACAACCGAGTCCTCTAAGGACGAGCTCTGAAAAGGAGAAGTGTATTGTGTCTCTTAGCTGCTAAGCTTAGGATGGTAGTTTTGAGGAATTTACACACAGTTCTTTAGTGAATGTTTGTTTGTCTGCTGGTTAGAGTTTATAATATGCAATGGAGATTAGCTATTCGGAGTGTTTATATATCATAGATCTCTTATTCTCCGCATTGGAAATTTAGACAAATAATATCAATCTATGTTTCATATCGGAAATTTGATAAATAATACATAGTATACAATAAGAAGTTCAAATCTGATTACTTCGAGTCACTTTGGGAATGAAATCAAAAGTAAATTCATAAAAGTCTACCTTTTAAATCTTAAATAAATAATATTATACTAATCGGACAATAAAGAGTTAAACATATTCTCTCAAAAGAATCCCAACAAGGTTTAGAATTTGGTCGATCATGCTGAGTTGGTTGGTGGTATTGGCTTGGAACTGGGCATACCCAGCCTTGTGTTTCTCTTGCTTACTTTGCAATATGCCCAATCTGTGTTGCAATAAGCCGCCATTTTCCTTTGGTATAGTGTCTTCCACATTTTGTGGACCAAGCTCATTAAATTAGACACCGTTGTGGGACTTTGAAAGCCAATGAAAGTTTGATCATCTCCAGATGAGCAATTGGTTGATAAATTATTTAAAATAATATTACCGTTTGAAAATATTGTCTTTGTGCGTTCGTTGCTATGTAAGTTACAAAGTCCCCATGTGTCATATTGAATTAAGTGTGATGAATAAAATACACACATATATACGCATAAACTATAAACAAGCTTACATGCATATATCGTCAGGACTGGATAAGTGTTTACTTGAAGTAGTTCCAACTATTAATTATACGTCATGTTCTTTAGTTCAAGACTTTGATATTTGAATCGCACATGTTGTCACTTAAGAATCATGACTAACATTTAAATAGATATATTGACCATGCATTCATATCGGATTATGACTCGTAACATCTCAATTATCCAAAACATCTCAACCTTTTGTATATTTTAAATTCAATACGATTCTTATAGGCGCTATTTATTCGTGTCCATATATATGCAGACGAATGGGGCTCACATACTGAATCCTGATCAAGGATATTTGTATTGGTCATCATAGGTGCGTGGTCCTGCTCCTCGTTTTGAATACGATCATCTATAGTAAATGGTCCCGTTTAACCCTACAGCCAACGCTCTCGACAAAAATTTACGAAATTTATGCAAGAAAATATACCAACTTCATTCATAAGTTTTAAATATATATCAACATCCCCCATGTGCTAAAACTCGGAGTCTATGTCTCAAACGGTTGCAAGTCATCCTCATTGATCATAATCACCACAATTTCGATTCAGCATTCAAGAATTTATTTCTGATTTCCTCCTTGTATCCAAATGTTTTATCTTAGAGATTTGTCAATATTTTGGTGGACTCTTTGCATGGTTTCAAGTTTCTATTTGAATAAACAGGAGTTTTCCTCTAAAAACAAAGATATTCATGCGAAACATCCAGGCAATCTACTCGATAGTTTTTTCTTTTCTTTTAATAGTTTCATAAAAATATTAAAAAGTAAAAAGGGACGCATGAAAAAGTAGACAAAAGTACACAAAACAAACAAATGTCTAGTCATCGTTAGATCAACCTAAAAATTAGGTTTTCTCTCGCATCAATCTTACCACATTGATAAATTTCTTGTCTAGTTTCTTTGGAGGAGTCACATTGCTTTCCTACTTTTTGCTTGAACTTAGAAAAACAAACTAAAGAAACTTTTTATTTTCTTTGAGTGGTCACCTCAACACTCAAAATAAAGGTCATCTATCAAAAGCAACACTGTCAAATGATTCTATACTGATTTCACATTTTAACCTACTTCTTTCTAATCAAAACAACTTGGTAAAACTTCTATGACATGATAATTCTCCACCATAAAACTATACTATACTATTATCACAAAATTCGTTTGATTTAGGATTTGGAAATATACAATGTATATAAAAGGGACAACTACAAGACAATGTGAATGGGGGCAAGGCTTTGGGGTCCATATTTTGTGCTAGAATGTTTCCCACTATTGTGAACAACATAACATGGACTATTCTTCTTGCATTACAACTTGTACTAGTCTCCTTTATTTCTTGAACGAAAAAGGAAGTTAAGGTGATGAGCATTAAAAGTCATACAAGAATTCTGAGAATCCCATGCAAATTTATATATTCTAAAGCAACTCACTTTTGTTGTTTTCTTCTTCTCTCTTAAGCTTCCTTTTCCTTTTTTTTTTCTTTTCTTCAAAAACTTTTTCTTTTGTCATTTTGAAAGTAATGATAAAAGGCTATTTTGACCATTCTCCACATCTTTTAATGGCTTTATCAGATTCATACCACATGCCAAGAAAGAAGTATGGTCCAGAGCAAGCCTCTTGTCCCCTATACATGTTTATATGTAATTTACATATTTATATCATAAACTCTAGTTAATTCAAATCAAGCAAAAAAAAAACTCTAGTTAATTCAATTATATACCATATGAACGTTTCAATCAATTCGAATCCATGTAGTATCATTACTTACAACAACAAAAGTAAAATTCCACATACTTCTTTAAACAGAAGCATCAATCATTGAAAAAACGACCAAACCAAAAACAATAATAATATTTTGTTTAGGTGTAATTTAATATGAAGCGTGAAAATAATCAACTTTTACTTTTCTTGGACTTCCTTCTCGTTAAGGTCCTCACCATCCAGCCCTGCTTCCTCACTTTGGTTCCTTCGACTTTGGATGATGATGCGACGTGCCAAGAAGAGGTGGACGAACCTGATCTGAGTTTAATGACGTGAAAAAGATGACCAATACGTTTGCGCCACTTAAGCGTTGACTTGGCACTGTTGTGCTCTACGATGCTCGTTATAGGGGATTGTTGTGTCTTACCTGGTGAGTTTGTGTTGTTGTTTACACAAACCTTTGACACTGTTTTCTTCTCCCACGATGCGTTTCCATCATTTTCGAATTTTATCGATATAAAAGAATCTGAAACCCCAAAAAAAAAATTAAATTAATTAAACAGTTATTAATTTAGAATAATTAAGATTTAATATATATTATACGTACGTAATTCTTGAGAAAAAAAAACTAACAAAAATATATATGGTCCTAAAACACTATGCACATATATATATGTATGTATATAAAGTTGTGTACCTTCTCGGCTTGTGGAAACGTCAAGATCGGAGGAGGGAAGGAATTTCCGGTGATGACGGAGATCGAGGCGACTGAGAAGAGAGCTCAAGGCAAAGATCTTAGGGAGACTACTAATGATTGGTGAAGATGACAAGTGTTTAGTTCTCGATGATCTCTGTTTTGAAGCTAAAACAAGAAGCCTCTCGTTCAAACAGAAGGGACAAACTCCAACATAATTTGCCTTTGGATGGAAGTAACAATATGGTGAAGGTGAGCTCTCATCTTTGTGCATATCCATCTTCACTACCAGAGAGAGAAAAGAGTCAGAGAGTGGGAGATAAGATTCCTAACAAATGAGATGGACTTAGGTCTGAAATTGAAGCTTTAATATATATATATATTACAATATTTCAATTAGTAGATTTTGCGGACATCATTATTTTCAGATACTGACATAATCTAGAAATCTGATAGTACAATATACCGTAGACTTAAAAGAATTTATAGAATACCTTTTGAGGCTAAGTATATTGATCACGTATCTGTTATTAAAGAATAGATCTCGATCTTAGCTCTTATTGGTATTCGAAACACGAGTTTAGTCGGGTTTTCACATTCTTGTCTACCAGTTATATTATAGGAACGTTGCTTTAATTAATATTTTCAATTCAGAGATATTGTATATAACTTTTACTAATCCTTTTACTTGAAGAAGGATGATTAGTCGCTTGTGGTATTACTTTAAATTTAATTAATCAATAAAATTCACAAATTACAGTGAACAGAAAATCTAGATTGTTATCTTTTTTTAGTTAAGAAAAATCCAATAAACTTTTGGACGTATTGTCCGAGAAACATCAAGTTATTGTATTCGTAATTCAAAAAGAATGTTACGGAATAAGCGATCTCCATCAAGAGAAGTCATCATTGTTTGTCTTTTTGAGCAAACCATAGATTGTTGATGTAAGATAGAGCTGGAAGATAGAGCTACTTTAGCAATTAACTCAGCTTCAACATTCGCTAAATGCTGAAGGGGGGGAGTGAGATCATTCTATTGGTCCCGTCTTATTTTCCTTTGGCCCCTCCATAATGGTGGCATTTTTTATTTATAAAAATGGCCTTCAAGGTAGTAAGATTTCATGTGTGCAGAGCTCGGTTTGTTGTGGTTCTAATTTATCAAGTCGTTGGATCTTTCCCTCGAATGTGTAAGACATAAACTGATAAAAGTTATGTATTATTGTTAACGACATGACATGTAGTTTTTGTTTTTTAATTAGGTGTTTTCCTTAACATGTGCAGTGATAAAAATTTTAAAATTTTAATTATACTTAAAATAAATTTTCTTAATATTAACTAATATTTAATATAAATTTGATTTAATTAAGCATAAAGTTAAAAAAATTGTTTATTTTAAATTATATTTAATAATATATATGTAATATGTTTAAAATTCATATGTTAGAATTTATTTATCTATTTATTTGGTTAAATGTATTAAATAAACTTGTATAAAATTACTAAGAATTTTTTTATAAAAATTGTATATTTATTAAAAATTATAACTAAATAATATTTATAAAATTTGTCGATATCTAAAAAAAACTAATGATATTACGATTCAAAATTTATTAATTTTTTAAAAAGATGTAAAATATTTTAAAAATCTTAGTAATAAAAATTGTATAGTTAAAAAAGTAAAATTAAATAACATTTCGAAATTTATAATGCATATTTTAATATATTTATTTTTAGTGATGATTTGATTTATGAATTATTACCATATTTTAAGAAGTTTACCAAAAATATAAATCAACATTAAATATAA